GTAGTCATCAATGAAATCGTCTGCATGGTCCTGCTGGTTGTCAGGATGTAGGGATGAAATGTAGAAACTGTAAAGAATAAAGAAACAATTATAATCTACCGTAAAAATGATATACATTTAATAAATTAATATAAAAGATATTAGGTTCAAAGCTAATCACAGATTTTTGATAATTTAACAAATTTTAAATCGTTAGCAAAATTTGAAAATATTATTTTTTTCTAAACGTGTGCAGAATAAAGTAGGATGATACTTACGTTTTTTATTCGTAGACTTTCGCTCAATATACATATGTTTCTCCTCAGTGATGAATTGATTCTAACACCGGCATCGAGTGACTTTAATTTTTAAAGGAAAAATGAAAAAAAAAAACATTAAAGAAAATAGTAAACTAACGCGACCGAAAATCAAAGTCGGCGGACAAGAGACTCTACTGTCGCGATTTTGAAAGCAATGAGCCACGATGCTTTGGAAAAAAATATAAAAATGCGCAATATACACTGAATCGACCTTCGCGTGTGCCTAAAGTATAAACGAAACTTTAATCGAAGCAACTGTGCTTCGATAAACAATCAACTAATCTATGCAACAAACACTGATTCTACCGACCGCATTGCGCGCGGTCATCAAAATTTCTGAAAGAAAAGCTGAAATTGGAAATAAGAAATAATTAAGTAATCACTCAGACATGTCTATTTATAGATTTAGTATTAAATTTGACCGATAAAAACACAAAAATATGTAAGCATATATAAGTGCATACTCACTTATTATAACGAAGTTGATTTTCCCAATATTCAATTTCGCATTCCTTCCATTAGCGGGTTCCAAGCATAATGGCGTCGATTGAATGCCGATAGCGTCCCTTCCAGTCGAACTCGACAATCAAAATCTGTAACAGCAATAAAACGCATATTACGATCTAATGCGTTAAAATAAATGCAGCTATAACTTAATTAAACCTTGACTGAACCCGAAATATGGTCCATGAATTGTTAATTACATTTACAGACAACATAATTGCTGATAATTATGTATGGAAAGAACACGTACGAAACAGATCTAACATTTTTCGCGATTCCAATTGACTTGAACGTCAGAAACGTATTAATATTAAATGAAAACACTAATAGAGAGTAAAGGAAAGTACTATGAGCGATTTGAAACATTAAGATGACAATAATTAAAGATTACGTATCTCATTAGAGGCGAAGCCTGTCACTGCAGCTCATCACACGAATTTCCAGAGGACGAATGACGGACAGGAACGAACGTGTCTACCGCGGGGGCCAATGGGTGGGGGGTGGGGTGAGGTGGTCACTTAGTCTAACGTCTCGACTCTCAATATGATTTCGGAAGAAAAGGTTAAACCTTATATCTCGAACAACTGAAAATACATAATGTAAATACATGAAATAAATACAAAAAGATATCAGACAAACGATTAATTAATGATTTATTGTCTTTATATTCTTGTGACGTCACAATGAGTGACAGCCAATCACAGGCGCTGCTTGAACATCGAATATCGATCTGTTAATCGACACATAGGTAACTAGATCGATTGAAATACATTAATTATCACTATTTTGATAAATGTTTTTCATATAAATTATGTGAATGCAACAACAATAGACAAATAATATGTGTAATATATAGAAAAATATTTTAATTTTTCACGATGTTTTTCTTTTGCGTTATAGGACTCCCACTAAATACTGTTCCTGTCTGTTACTCGTCTGTACCTATTTCTTGTGTATTCTATAATATTCTTTAAAAGTAATTTTATTCTTACCGTTGTTAGCGTTCCTAAGCCGAGGACAATAATGCGATACGTTTCTTATCTTTTGAAAGCTCGGTCCAGCTGTGTTTATATTCTCGGACGCCGGCCGCTCGACTTCACCTTGGAGACGAGCTCATGAATTCCTGGCATGCGTGACACAAACACTGTTGGTTTATGCGACTATTCTATGCATTGTCTGTGCCCTTAATCCGTGTGTTAGGAAAAAATATCGCGTTCGGCGTCTACTTCACACTTCGTCTGTGCCTGTACCAGACTCTTTACCATAACTGTGTCAAGTTCAATGTTACCGACACCGCGTCAAAGAAGGTTAGTAATCTAGTGAGAATTAAAACAAATATCTTTAGAAAATTTAGTAGAAATAAAAGAAACTTTTATATGAAAAAATGATTGAAATTTAGATTGGAAAGTTAATACTTACACATTATATGGTTAGAATTAATATATTTTAATTGATCTAGTTACATATGCAACCAATAACAGATCGATATTAGATGAGCCAATGACAGCTTCTCATTGTGACGTCACAGTAGTATAAAGATTATAAATCAGTAATTAATTTTTTGTTTGATATCTTTTTATATTAATTTTATTTACTTCATGTATTTATTTTCAATTCTTCGAGATATAAGGTTTAACCTTTTTTTCGAAAATACACTATTCTAGTCTAGGTGACTCCCATCGCACTAATTCAGCAAATAATTTCTCAACTGATCGTCGTCCACGAGTAGAGGATACTAAAATCATTTTTTAATTTTTTTAGATCGATATGACAGTCAGCTTGGTTCATGAAAGTCCGTAATGTGTAAAATCCTCATCATCGTGCACCGACGCGTAGAAAATTACTCTTAAACGATTCTCTCGAAGTACACGAACAGCACTTTAGGGGTCTGGATGCCTACACGGTATAATGTACACCCCTACGTTACAATGTATACTTCTCGAGCTTATTATCCGCGAAAGTTGTGGATCACGAAGCGTTTACCAGCGGCTCGCGTGTCGGTGAGAGACCGATTCCCCTTTAAAGAAATCTACGTAAACAAGCGCAGAGGAAACGTACGAACGAAAGAGGGACAGGTAAAAAGAATCGAGGACCGACAGGGTTGCGAAGAAACGGAACGAAACGTATATTTAACGAGCTACTTTGTCGGAGAATGGATCATGCCCAGGAGGCGGGAGCATTCGAAGAATGAGCTGGTTGGGTGGTTGGAAAATAGAGGGGAGGGATGCATCTTGCTTGTTTCAAGAAAGGTTAATTATATTTATGGATATATCTACTATACTAAGTAGAAAAATTAAAATGTTTAGTAGTTGTTCAAACGATCTTCTCTGAGATCTAGTTTCCAAAACTAGCAACCCATTCTCGTGATTTTTTGATTCCAAATTTTTGGCCTGCAAGAATTTTCTTAATTAAAATGGGTCGATCCTGGTTCGTAGCTTTTTAAAAAAAGGACAAGAACGATGTATGGTACGACTGCACGTGGCTTGCGTGAACGACACGGTAGCAAATTTCGTGACCTACGTGACTCGCAGCCGTACAAAGTAACTTCACGGTAGATTGAAATTGCCGTCGATCTTCATCCCCCAAGGGCGTGTTTCCGTGATGGCCGTGGAGTTGGGCCAACGAACGAGGAAAAATTGCGTAATCGCCGAGACAGCGCACGCGAGAACGTTGTACATCGATAAATTACAAAAGACTCTTGGTTGACAGGGCGCACGGTGGGTCGTTTACCCCCCAAAAGCGGAAGAGAGCGACTTTATAAACATAACCCCGCGATAAAAAGTTATTTGAGAGAGAAACTGTGATGGTTGAAAATAAAGGCAATTTTTAATAACGTAGAATTATGTGGATAACTTTAACCTTTCCTTATCAGAGTTTAGTTTCTATCATTTATCTTGGATGCTGAAAGAAACTAACGATATGACATGCTTGCAAACGATTGATTTTACTTTATTATAAATTCCTTTTCCTATTTTAATGTTCTGAATCTCAACCAAGTTTCACAGTTCATATTTTTGTTATAACTTCTTAACAAAGTATTTATAAATTTTTCGTTATATAACATTTTAGTCTTAACTTTACTCATACTTTACTGCTGAAGTCACCCTGTATGTGTAGCTAATCGGGGGAACGTAAACACGAAAGAAAAGCTGTCCTCGGGCCGTCAACGATTCCCATTCTATCGCTGCTAATGATCGCTCCATAATCATTATGGTTTTCTTGGAACAGCCTGGACACCCACGTAGTACACGCTCTTTCGGAAGCTCGTTTCCACCTGTCATCGTACCTGTACGGATCATTGTTCACTATGTAGCAACGGAGGTTGTTTCCCACGTCGCCGATCCACCGGGTGAAACTTAACCATACGCTCGTTTTTATCGGGACGACCAGATATGCGTGCTTGAATTTTCTTTCCACGACACGGCACGCTATGCTGCGAGTAATGAACGGTTAGGCCAGCGAGCAGAAATTGCGAGCGTGTCGTCCTGGAGACTGTTGCACGCGTGTACGTCTCGGTCTCTAGACGCATCACGACACGGGTAATTTCCCAGTCAGGACGAGTCACGGGAACTAAATGGCGCGATTGTCGGGAATTAATCTCCACGAAAATGAAATCCGATCGATGGAAAGTTCGCGTAACGAGAATCGTCGATACCCCAAAGCAATTATTTGCATCTTCCCAGAGAAACCTGGCGATCCAAGAGAAGACCATTTAAACGAAATTCAATCAATTTTTTATCGGCCACGAATGAAAGTTTTTAAACGGTATTTAAATTCAATGGTCTCTTATTCGAATTTAAAAAAATTGTTCGATTTATAATATATCGAATTACCACAAACGTATTACAGAAAACGCGTAATATTTGTTCCCTTCGAAATTAAATTCTATCATAACCAAGCAACGAATGAAGGTTTCGAAATATATAATATTTTCCGGGGTCACCCTAGTAATTACCCGCGGCGGCGTTTAAAAGCAAATTAACGCTTACCGAGTTTTAATTATAGCACAGGAATTTTTGTTCTATGCAAAAACAGACGAAGGAAGGGGGGAATGTTTATATTCTACGGTGCATATATAGACCTGCATCCAATGGTGTAAACGTCACTCGTATTGCAGTTTGCGAAGCGACACGGGTGGCGGTCTTCGCGGAAAATGCTTTGCTGTGTTACGAATTCGATTGAATTTTTCGTACTGTGATAGTGGACGATATTGCAAGTTATTAATAAGTTGTTTTTAAATTGCCTCTTCGCCCTACATTATTCGATTTTAAATCTTTATTTTATGCGTCCATCTACATTCGTTTCTCTGATGGCTGTTTGGTGGAGATCTTCTTCAAAACACAATCGTGATAAATTTGAAAAAGAATCCTGTGTCTCAAATCTCACTATTTTAAGAAGCGTTCAGAATTTTAGAAAAACAGCTACGAGACTTCTTTTATTTTAACTTCTCTTCTTCGTCTTACTGTTCACAAAATAACGCTGTTCTTCTTCAGAATCCAACCAAATTAACTCACAATCAGATAAAATCGTACTTCTTCATCCTTTCTCTCTGAGCTTCTAATTTTCAATCATTCAGTGGTCCAACGATCGTTTCTATTCATTCAGAATGTTCAACGAACGTGTTTATTCCGCAGCTTGATTCAACATGGCCCTGATAACGCCCTACTGGGGCCTGGACGGTCTCATACTCTTCTCGTCGCTAATGATAGCCGCCTACATGTACATGACTCGTAAATTTAAATACTGGTCCAAACGGGGCATCATGGAAGTCCCTCCGACACCGTTCATAGGAAACTTCACGGAATGCATCATGCTGAAGAAAACGGCCTCCGATTTCGTGAAGGATCTGTACAATATGTCCAAAGGATTGCCCTACATGGGATTCTACATTTTCGACAAACCGTTCTTCCTGGTACGAGATCCCGAGCTCGTTAAGCATATCCTGGTGAAGGACTTCAACGTGTTCAACGACAGATACGCATCGCCTAACGTGAACGATCGTCTTGGATACGCGAACGTGTTCCAGATAAAGAATCCTGCCTGGAAGATCCTTCGAACGAAATTAACGCCCATCTTCACCACTGGCAAATTGAAGAGGATGTTCGACTTGATGCTTCTGGTCGCTGATGATCTCGACAATCATCTCGAGGCTCTGAATTTGAGTAAGTTCTATCTTAATTGCTGGAATTAATGTTTTTAATGCGTTCGTTGAAAAAGAAGATCATGTTTTCGAGTAATCTGCAAAAGTACTTTATGTAGTAGTCTATCTACTATGCATTTGTTTCTTTGATGGTTGCTTGATGGAGATCTAGTCTTATTTAAAACACAATCGCGATAAATTTAAAAAAGAATCGCGTGTCTCAAATTTCGCTATTTTAAGAAGCGTTCAGAATTTTATAAAAATTTCATTGCACTTCGTTTCTTTTATTTTACAAGTAGCAATGAAAATTCGCGTACATTTACCATCGATACGAGGCGCGAAGAATAAACTTGTATTTAAGAAATCTTTACGCCAACACAAGCATAATCATGCAAATATTATATAACGCGATTAAAAATGGTGGCGCTTCGTATAAATCGTGACACGTCGTATTTGTGTCAGGCATGTCATCGTTGATATGTAGTATGATTTATGCAACTGTCAACTCGAGTGATTATATCCTCTAATAACACGGTGGACGAACAATAAAAAATACAATTATGAATATTGTAACGATACTACCAACACGATTATACGATGATCACTGAGATTCAGTGATATATACCAGTGAATACTGCATAGAAAAAACTATTATCTTGTAAAAATATTTGATTCGAGAATAATAGAGCACATTCGATAATGTAATATAGAGTTGTCCGAAAGCTTTTAACGATCGTCATTTGTCGTTAATGTTATTTTAAAAATCATAGCTTTGGACGCTATTTAAAAAATACAGGGATATTAAAAATATCAAATACTACCGTATATAATATTTTTATTTATTCTACTATTCTATAATCACGAAAGTCTACATAGATTTCAGATACATTGCAAGTAGATTGGCGTCTAATTTGATAATAAATACCTGTTCCAGGCACCGCGAAGGAGATAGAAATGAAGGAACTCTGTGCCAGTTTTACCACGGACATGGTTGGCAGCACTGCCTTCGGTTTAAGGGTGAATTCACTGCAAGATCCGAAAGCTCCGTTCCGAGAAGCCGGCAGACAAATTTTTGGTTACGATTTCTTTCGTGGAATGGAATTCCTCATCATATTTTTCATGCCGCATTTAACGAAATACACCGGTGCTAAATTTTTCGGGAAAGAGGCCAGCAAATTTCTACGAACCGTTTTCTGGGATGTGATCAATGATCGTATAGCGTCGGGACAGAAGAGGCACGATCTCATCGATCTTCTGATCGAGCTGAAAACGAAGCATGAAGCAGATGACGATCTGGGTGGATTCAGTGAGTTGACAAACGAATTTTTCATCACCATTCTCTAGCATTTCATAGATTATTTTAATGTCACCGCAAAAATTTATCAAATTTTGTTTAAAATACTTTGTTATCTAATCGTTGGAAGTGCTCGAACGAGATCTGTTTATTTATTTTAAATTATTACAAGTTCCAATCCCGAATGTACGAGCATTAAAATTAATCAATAATCACAATTTTCACCGGGAATGGAGATTATATCAATCTGTATTAGCACTGAACTATCGCCTCGAGCGCAACCCGTTTCAATTAGTTATGCAAGTGTGAAAATTCAATTTACATTTTCACGCTGCTGTCGTTGCCTTAATCGAAAGTAAATATTTCGATAATTCGCGTTTCAGAGTTCAGCGGCGACGATTTGGTGGCACAGGCGGCTGTGTTTTTCTCCGGGGGTTTCGAAACTTCATCGGGCCTCATGTCTTTCACCCTTTACGAGCTTGCGTTGAACATGGATATTCAAAGAACTCTACGAAAAGAGATTTTGGACGCGTTGGAAGAAACCGGCGGCAAGATTACGTACGAAATGGTACTATAATCCTAAACAATTTTTGACATAAAGAAGAATTTAAGTGTTACTCTTTACGAAAGATGTATACACCAGAAAATAGACAGCGAAACATTATTCCTTGTCATTGTAAACGTTGAGTATCTCTTTTCCGCAGATCATGACGCTGCCATATTTGGATATGGTTGTCTCCGAGACCCTCCGCATGTATCCGCCGCTGGGATTTCTAGATCGCGTCGCTAACGCCGACTACAAAGTGCCTAATTCAGATCTGGTACTAGAGAAAGGTACTCCCGTGTACATATCTATGACCGGGATGCACTACGATCCAGAATACTTTCCCGAGCCGGAAAAATACGATCCTGATCGATTCACGGACGAGAACAAACAGAAGAGACCGAATTTCGTTTACTTCCCATTTGGCGAGGGTCCACACATCTGCATCGGTTAGTATTCTCACCAAATTTACGTCCATAATCTCTCAAAATTTTAATTTAGTCTCAACTTTCTTCCTGGGCCGTTTATTTAATACGTAAAATATTTACCAAAGCAGAGTACTTAGGTATTTATTTTCCATGATGTTTCGAGTCACATCGAGTTCGATGTAGAATTCATAATAAATATAATACACTTATTCGATAATTTTCTAAATTTTTTCAAGTAAATTATGTTGCACTTACATTATTCAAAATAATTGTTGGGTGACTGTCTATTCCCTTTGTCTAACTAATTTTGTATTATATTGTATTATAAAATAAGCATGACTCGTGTATTGTGACTTTTAAAGACTCCACGTGCTTCGAAACATCGAAAAAATAATCTTGCATGTTAAAATAAAATTGCTCTTAAGGAAAAAGAAAGATGACGAAGCAACAAACGATCAAACGATATTGATGAGTTAACGCAGCTACTGATATCATAGGGTTATAAAAGCATTGCTGTCGTTGTATATTATAGACTGCAAGTTCTTTAACACTTGACTTTTGTAAGTTGCAAAATACTATTGAGACTTGCAACTCATAGAGTTTCACAATTAAATAACGTTACTGTTTTGCGCAGTAGCACAATGTCGCACGCCAACTTAATATTGTGCGACTATTTAGGGGGATATGCTTGGAGGCTCCAATATATGATATCCGCCAGATGAAGTCTTCGGTCTGCTTGGTAGTGTTCGGTGTTATTCTCGGTGCTGCTTGTTTGATGTTTTGACTCAATCTGCTCTTTGGGCCAAGGTCGCCCAAAGAGCTAACCTCGCCATGGGCGTACCCAAGACCATGGGAGGAGGTATCAGTTGCTGACTGGTTCTTATTGTAAATACGCCGACCAATCATTTTGGCGGCGAAGTCGGTCGGTGGGAGGCGGCATATAACGGTGGTTTTTAATAATTTTTGCGGGCCCGGGTTTTTCCGCGAGAGGCTACGGGCTCGGGCCACCGCTTGGTGCCCAGATGTTTTGCGCGGTACCTGAGGCTGGTCATAAAACATCTGGCACCGGTTGTCGATGTTATTGCAGGTAGTAAAGTCATAGAGCGACTGGATTTGGAGGGCCATGCAGATTTGAAGTGATTTTATTATTTAAATAGCCGCCTTAGGGGCACTTGGTTATAAGCAAAAGCCTTGATTGTTTATAAAAGGTGTGACTCTATATCCGCTGGCTTTATGAATTTACTATTACGCTGCAACAGTTACGAACATAAGTGTTACAGAACACAGTTGTGCGAATGATGCTAGTGAATTTATCCAACAATATTGTTAGTGAATTTTTTTGTTTTACATCTCTCAGTTTTGTATTTTTCATATAGATTTTTTAATTTCCATTTTATATTGTATTTTAGGTCTTCGACTAGGACTAATGCAATCGAAACTTGGGCTCGTCCAATTTTTAAGGAAGTACGAAGTGACACCAAGCGAGAAAACAAGAATCCCGATGGTGCTCGATCCCAAGGGAATCACCACGACAGCTCTAGGAGGATTATACCTAAACGTTCGAAAGATCACCACCGAAGCTGGTTAATATAATCGTTCGAACGTTGATCATTTTAGATCTTGAGTGACGCTCAACACGATCTATTTGACAATTAAATAAAAACTTCCCAACTAAGTGATTTACATGGTTTTCTAACGTGACTATTTTATTTACCATTGACATTTATTGTGAGCTTATTGTGAAAACTGTTGAATTTTTTAAATAAAAATTTCGAAACTTCTTGGAACGAGAAAATGGTTTGAACATTATTACATTTCCTACTTGAACAAATTCCATGTGAAGGATGTTATTTGCAGTATATAGAACAGTTCTGATATCAAGTGTCATACAATATTCATTCAAAAGTTGTAAATAGTAATTTGTGAATGTTACATAACAGCGTTATGTGCGTGATTTTATGCTATGCATAGAGTCACGCGTTACGTAATTCGAATGAAATTAGTGCTTGTTAATTGTGAAACATCATCGAATATTTGACTTTGTACTGAGCTTTTAAATAATGAACTATTGCAGCGTTGCGAATTTAATTCACTTGTGCAGTTCAAAACTATATTTATACATTGACGTCCTTTATTACCATTACTAATTTTCTTTAAACAAACAAAGTAACAATATGCAACAAATATTTATGCTTCACTTGTATCATATTGTTTACTGTGATATAGTATTACTCAAGAAACAAAAAATTGAAAAGGTTTATAATATACTTTTATAAAATAGTTAACTAATATATGACATTAATAAAAAATTCTAAATCGAAATAATTTATCTACAGTATAAATCTTGCATCAAGACAACAATTTTGTGTTATTCACATTAGCTATTTCAGTGTATTCGTTTGTATGCAAGTTTGGAACTTATTTATTTACAACAAATATTGATATCATTTATCCCGAGCACAGATCAAGCGATAACAATAGTCTTATCTAAAAACTTGTCAAGCATTTTACAATTAAACTTATTCACAAATAAAAGTTTCTGCAATACAACAAGAAACGTTTCCACACGTATATGAGATCTTCCTCCTTCAAGCTAAATAAAATCCGATCAATCTTTTGTTTACAGTGGAAATGCGTCCTTCATCGATCTATCCTTCTTCTCTATATGTATAATGTACAATGATTTCTTCGTAGAATTACCGAGCGTTACCTGACTGCTGTTATTATTCAAGCAGTCGCAACAGGTTAGTTATTGAACAACGCTAGTGTTTATATCTTGTCTTTCTGTCGAAGCTAATGATCAACGCACACCTACGTACGTCACGTGAAACATTGTACATATATTGATTATTAAAATGAAGAGTAGCACAAACAAGATTTGAATCACCCTATGGCAATAAGTCACGCGTTGTCTATACCTGCAATTCTTGTCAATTTTAATAATTAAATTCTTGCAAAACAAAAAACGGAGTAAGATTATAGCGATGTTATGCGTTCCTATGATTATGTAAACTTCAATATCTGTTGTACGAAGCGTTTTAAATTCGTTCTAAACATTACCTGTTTCCTTCTTTTCTCACATCCTGGTCTCGGTCGATCAAACCCACGTGCACTTGAAACATCAATTTTAGTTTCAGTAGTACCTCGATAATTGCAGAAATTTCGAAAATTCCTTGCAACAATTCAATGAAAAATACTACAATTACTTACGGTCCCCGCGTAGCGTCTTCCGCCATGTTGCTTAGCACCTAATTCTTTTACTCGTCAACACCGTGCAATGCTCGAGGCTTTCGCGCGATAATTGAGGTTCTACCAGAGATGACTATCGCAAGGGACGATCCTGTCGACTGAACGGAAGGCGCTGCGCAAATTTACAGCTGTTATTTATTGCTCAGAGTCAAGCTGGTGTCCCTATCGTCGCCCCAAGTGTCAACGTGACTTTTGTTTACGTACGAACTTCAAGTTCGAATGAAAGTAGCACGCTTTGCTCGCGTCATCTGGCTTTGTTGTAAGGTTACAGCTATCCTCGTCGATCCACAACTTCTTTGTCAGGCACGCTATTCTCTCGATGGAATGTCTAGTGCTCGTTTTGTTATCACGCTTCTCATGATTTAGCAAATTCCAATGAATGTTTCCATATGTGGTTCACAAATTGAGTAATGCATATTATCAACTGCTATGAACTTCTGTTTGCTTAATGCAATCTATTTGACAAATATATGTGCATGAGACATCCACAGCCTGAAGAAATACAAAATTAAGTCAAATTAATAAATGGCTTATCTTGTTTTCGCTGATTCATCCTTCACTATGAAGACGTTTAATACAGTCTAATTCGTTTTACAGTGTTGTGTTCACGATTAGAGATCCCTTCCACCGTACCCGTATAATCTCGAATGGCTGACATATAATATGATCGACTTACTGAGAAATCAGTAGCTCGTAAAGATTTATAGCAACACGGGCATTGAGATCAACGGTCCCGAGAAACTATATTTAATAAGGACAGTTTCAGGCATTTTCTATTCGACATCCTTGAATAGGAACTGTGAGTATTAATTTTAATCGCGGTAATCGTTCACAAATCGTAGACATTTGTGTTGCATTTGGGAATCATCACAGCCGGAGTAACAACTATCTTACGTCGTAGTTGGTAAACGTTTCCCCGGTTCAGTTTAACCAATAACGTACTGATAAAACAGTTGCTGGAAAGAGGTAGGGTGACGGAATTCTACGATGCATATAAAGACCTGCAACAAATAGCATAGAAGTTAATAGTCGTCTTGCTCTTTGCAAATCGCCAGGCGTGGACGCCTTCGCGAAAGTGTTAATTTCGATTTTTTTTTCAAGTGGGTGATATTGTAAATTGTAAATAATAGTTTTTAAATTAGAATAAGGTTGCCTCGTTTGTATTGTCGTCCAAGGGGCTATGATCATTGAAATCGAAGCAATTGATTTGTGACTTAGCAACGTCTGATTTTTTGGAGATTGTTGAATTTTGAATTTCGTATTTCATGTTTGTTTAACAAAATAAGACTTAACGTAAATTGTGTGTGCGTTGTCCAATGCTTTGTAATTAATTTCAACGTGTTTGTGTGCAACGTTTGTGTTTTGTATGGTAACAGTGACGAAAATAGATTTGTGCTAATGAAAGTAAAACAATAGAACGAACGACTAGTTTCCTAACGCTATTTGCCATATTCATATTTTTGTTTTTAATTCAGCTTATCGCTTGTTAGCTATGCCTCTATATCTGTCGTATTCTGATATCGTATTTTTAATTCAGATTAACGTTATCTCTCTCTTAAAATACAGAACTATAATATCGCTTCTTTTTAATGAAGCATATTGATTGTATTCTCTGCTTAATCTACCGGTGTTGTAATTTTTCCCAATCCCCAATAAATCAGTGCATTCTATATGAGACAACAATAATATTTATTCTTATATAATAATTTTAACTAATTTTAATCGTATAACACAATATTTCATTTTATAAATTACCATGATTGCCTCAATGATGGTACTTTTAATAATCTCTATACGATAACACGAACACGTATTATTAGATAAATATGACGATAACCATATTTATAATAACGTTCCACCCATTGGTTTCACTTCTAAAGTTTTCAGAGCTCAGATTGTTTAGTTATGTCAGGGGACAATTTACAAATTTAAAGAGTACAGAAAACATTACACTACATTAATACAGTGCAATCTTCAAGTAAGATACAATAAAAAAATTGGAATTACCAAAACTAACATCCATTCTATAAAATACATAAAATAAACGAAATTAAATATACAGTAGACAAATATTTTTACACGTTACACGATACATAGAAAACGTGGAAAGTGGAAAGTCTAAATATATCTTTTTTACATAAATGTTCCATATATCGATGATACTTAGCATCCCTTAAGACAATTCACGCTATCCTAAAACGATCAACGGATTTTCTCGATTCAGATTAATTCAGAATGGCCCTGATAACTGCCTACTGGGGTCTGGACGGCATCCTAATCTTCGCGTCCCTAATGGTGGCCGCCTACATGTACATGACACGCAAATTCAGATACTGGACAAAACGAGGCATCCTGGAGGTCTCTCCGACGCCGTTTTTTGGGAACTTCGGTGACTGCTTGTTTCACAAAATATCGCCCCCCGATTGGATGAAGCATCTGTACGATGTATCCAAAGGATTACCCTACATTGGATTTTACATATTGGACAAACCGTTCCTCCTAGTAAGAGATCCCGAGCTTGTCAAGCACATTCTGGTGAAGGACTTTGACGTCTTCAATGACAGATACGCGTCGCCAGACGTGACCGATCGTCTTGGATACGCGAACCTGTTCCAAATCAAGAATCCTGGCTGGAAGGTCCTTCGAACGAAGCTATCACCGATCTTCACCACCAACAAACTAAAAAGAATGTACGAATTGATGCTTTTGGTCGGCGACGATCTCGACGCGCACCTCGAGTCTTTGAATTTGAGTAAGTTTGATCAATTCCCCTTGTATTTGTTTCAGTTCTTTGCATAGTTCTCTCAACCAAATCACTTTCATTCAATCGTTTTAGGAATTCATTCTCTTTTACGTGTATGATTAAGAACTGGAAAATATCTGGGAAATCAAGACCACGTAGTCAATATCATTCTTCACGTTTGGAAATATTGACATTTCATTAATTTTCACTAATGTAAACATACAAGATCAACTAGAAGAGGTACATCAGGTGCTCCACATTCCTTCAGTAGGAAAACTATAGTCTCTAATCTCAATTAAATCATTGGTTTAAAAAACAAACGCAAAGAAATACTAACGATTCTACAATTTTCCAACAACGAACTCGATATTTGTGTTCCAGAGACTCAGAAAACGATAGAACTGAAAGATCTGTCATCGAATTTCACTACGGACATGATTACTAGTACTGCTTTCGGTCTGAGAGTGAATTCACTGAACAATCCGAAAACAGCGTTCCGCGAAGTTGGCAGGACACTGTTCGGCTACGGTATCCTTCGAAGCTTTGAGTTTTACACTATATTTTTCCTGCCTCACTTGACCAAATACACCGGCGCCAAATTCTTTGGGACACACGGCAGCAAATTTCTACGAAACATTTTCTGGGAAGTGATCAACGAACGGAAAGCGTCGGGACAGAAAAGGGGCGATCTCATCGATCTTCTGATCGAGTTGCAAGACAAGCACGAACACGAAGGCGATCTGGGTGGATTTAGTAAGGCGATAAACGAATTTTTCATAAATAAACTTTAATATTAAATATCTCGAAAAGCATTAAGCGTTATCACTATACGGAAGCTTCTTGCAACGTGAAAGGTACGCATGGGGAATTCTCCTTGCAAACTTTTTAAGTCACATTCCCCTTCAAACTCTTTCATCTTCTCTCTTCAATACAGCGTGAAAGTTACAAAAGGAAGCCTTTAGAAGAAATAATAAAATATTTCTCTCTATACGAAACAATAGTATTTTGAGAATCACTTACAGCAATCAAAATTATAGTTTCTTTTTATATGAATCATTTGCATTTCTCTTATTTTATCACTCATTTAACATAAGTTAAATTTTTATTTATGAAGACTGACAGTTTCTGATAATATCTATCAATATTTCTACGTCTTTCAAATAGTTTCCCAAATGGAGAAGCTTGATTTCCATTTTTGCGCTTTTATCGTTGATTTAATTGAAAGTTAATAGTTCGATAATTCGCTTTTCAGGGTTCAGTGGTGATGATTTAGTGGCGCAAGCGGCCGTGTTTTTCTCCGGTGGCTTCGAAACTTCGTCGGCCACCATGTCTTTCGCGCTTTACGAGCTTGCGTTGCACATGGACGCGCAGAGAACTCTGAGAAAAGAGATTCAGGACGCGCTAAACGAATCCGACGGCAAGGTCACGTATGAAATGGTAATCTTGCCAATTATCGACACTAATCTATGTATTACGCGCAGAATCTGATTAGAAATTCCAAACAATTGCACAGTTTATCGAAACCAGTTATGCCTCGCCCAATTATTTGTCCGTAATCACTAGCTTCGTTAGGTAGACAAAGATAATGTGTATCGTGTACATTTAATAATACAGAAACTAAAATTAAAATGTCGGGATTAACAATTTTACAGAAGTTATCTTGATGACCATTTAACTTTTCCCTGAAACATTTCTGATATAATTAATTACTGAAGAACTAAAGAAATTATTTCTCAAATTGGCTGTTAAAAAAGATAGAACTATTGAATTTTAAGGAGACTGTAAAAATAAGTGCTATGAGAAACTGTGTCGCAACGACAAAGTTTCGATTATCGTGGACAATTTCAGGGATTTTTAAAAACATGAAACATTCCTTTTTGCTGTAAATCTTCAATAATTTTCACAGATCACTTCACTCCCGTATTTGGACAGAGTCATCTGTGAGACTCTACGCAAGTATCCGCCCTTAGGATTTCTGGATCGCATCGCCAGTGTCGACTACAAGGTGCCTAATTCAGACCTGGTAATAGAGAAAGGTACTCCCGTGTACATACCTATAATCGGGATGCACTACGATCCAGAATACTTTCCCGAGCCGGAAAAATTCGATCCTGATCGATTCACGGACGAGAACAAACAGAAGAGACCGAATTACACTTACATCCCATTTGGCGAGGGTCCACACATCTGCATCGGTTAGTACACTCACAAAATTTACGTCCATAATCTTTTAAAATTTTATTTTAGCCTCAACTTTCTTCCTGGGCCGTTTATTTAATATGTAAAATATTTACCTAAGCAGAGTACTTAGGTATTTATTTTTCACGATGTTTCGAGTCACATCGAGTTCTATGTAGAATTCATAATAAATATAATACACTTATTCGATAATTTTCTTAATTTTTTCAAGTAAATTATGTTGCACTTACATTATTCAAAATATTTGTTGGGTGACTGTCTATTCCCTTTATCTAACTAATTTTGTATTGTATTGTATTATAAAATAAGCGTGACTCGTGTATTGTGAGTTTTAAAGACTCCACGGTCTTCGAAACATCGAAAAAAAATATTTGCATGTTAGAATGAAATTGCTCTTATGGAAGAAAGAAGATGACGAAGCAACAAACGATGAAACGATATTGATGAGTAAAAGTAGCTCCTGATATCATAGGGTAATAAAAGCAAATAAATACTGTCGTTGTATAGTATAGACTACAAGTTCTTTAACACTTGACTTTTGAAGTTGCAAAATACTATTGAGACTTGCAATTCATTGAGTTTCGCAATTAAATAACGTTACGAATATAAGTGTTACAGAATACAGTTGTGAGAATGATGCTAGTGAATTTATCCAATAATATTGCTGATGAATTTTTATGTTTTACATGTCTCAGTTTTGTATTTTTCATATAGATTTTTTAATTTCCATTTTATATTGTATTTTAGGTCTTCGATTAGGATTAATGCAATCGAAACTTGGGCTCGTCCAATTTTTAAGGAAGTACGAAGTGACACCATGCGAGAAAACAAAAATCCCGATGGTGCTCGATCCCAAGGAACTCACGACGACAGCCCTCGGAGGGATATACCTAAACGTCCGAAAAATCTCTTCTGAAGCTGGTTAATGATCGTTCGAACGTCGACACGATCTATTTGACAATTAATTAAAAACTTACGAACTGTGATTTACATGGTTTTCAAACACTCCCTTGAACCCATCCAACATAACAAAATATTATGTCAATGCACTTTTAATGCTAGACTATTTTATTTGCTATTATTTAGAGACTTGCTCATCAAGTCACCTCCAACTGACAATGACTTTGATCGATTCATAACTAATTAACACACAATGGAGATGTTGTAAGTTTAAATTACACTTAATAACGTTTTTTGCAATTTAAAACAGCAAACCAGTTTCAAGTGTTTTCGCGTAATTCGTTTCTACTTCGTAAAATCTATCGTACTGATACTTTGATATTACTTGTTGTTGTCTAGGTTTAATAAATTTTAATTATCTGTTTCTATCACCTGTTGATTATTATACCTGCATGTATCAACCGACATTAACTTTAATTTTTAATTTTCATGCATTTACAATATTAAATACTTTCCGAAGTATTATCTTTCCTGTACTATATTTTCTAAGTTCGAAGGCGAAGGAAGTATATTCGACGGTCATAAATTAAAAATAATTTGCATTTTAATGTAGTGACTAATTAGTGTCAACATCATTTATCGTAAGATTACGTAACGTATAATCAACAAGGAACATTTACGTCACAATCAAGAATGCGCGAAAAATTTATATTCGACCTTAGGACGCACATTACACGTACATTAATTTTTTTAACTTTTTAATCTGTCGTCGACGATTGTTATTATTTATTTCTGACACAAATAAAACGATTGCGTTTCTAACGTCGCTGGTGCTTCTACGAATCTTCGATGCAAATGGAATCTATGTGTAATTAGAAAGAGATGCGTTTCCATGTATTATGTAACATGCAGTACCTATTTCGGTGGTGAACAGAAGATGAAAAGAACATGAAAGCTAAAGAAGCTGAAGATAAGAAAGGAGAGGGTGGATGAAGGTCCATCGTACGAGATGAGGAGAAGACAGTGGAAAATAAGGAGTATAAATAAACTATGCAGGAGTATGGATTGAAGGAGTTTGATGGAAATGGGACGAAGAGGGAGAAACAATGGGGTGTAACACAGGCAGGGTATTGGCAGAAGTGAAACAGAGTGGATGACAGGGGTAATGGGAAGGTGAAAGGGAAGATAGAAAGGGAAATGTCAAAGGGAAGCGTGTTGACATGGGGGAGTTGACGATAGAAAGAACGAGTGGGAGGAAAGGGTGGAACGAGAAAGATCTTACAAGGTGCGTGGTCTGGTGATATAAGTTGCGTTTAGGCTTAAAAGCAAGCGGCGTGAAGCATGAATGGCGTAAAGGGAATTGTAGACCGAATAGGAAACAATTAAAAACGATTATAATTGTAACAATTTTTTACGATATCTCGAGAATCTAACGAAGAAACTCTATGTGTTTTTGTAAATTATTTGACGAATTTTATTTTAAATATAGAGATTTCATTCTGATCAATTTATCGTTTAAGTTATCTTCGATATACTTTCAAACGAATACGTGAAATTCGTATAAAAATTAATATCGTTTGAACCTGTTCCATAGATAATATCAAAATTCTATGGGTGTATATGGAAATTTATCTATTTAATTATTAAAGGCGCACCCGTTATGTCACTTCGAAAGTGCTCGTACACTCGTAACCTGATTACATACGCAAGACTGCGTACCGAATCCCGGTGCGTTTCGAAAATGTCCGCGATTAGGGCGGAGGTTACGAGAACATGATATCAGTCTTCCATAAATAACAGAGATGAATACGTCACAATGATTTTACTCAATACTCTTTTAATCAAGGATAATTATTTGCAAGGAACAAAATTTTCACAAACACATTGATTACAATTTTTATTGTGTATATTATAAGCATGCAACGAATAAGATTCTATTTAATCATTTCATTATTAAAAAGAGAAATTTTTTTTGTAGAATTATTAATCCTTTCTGAGATTTACTTGTAACCATGTTCAGAATTTTTGCAAATAACTACTAGAGGAAATTACTATCCGTGGACTGAGTTTGTACAAAATCTATAGAGACTATAATAATATATTTTCCTCGAAAAAAAAATTTGTTTACTAGTCAAAACGTGATTATGGCAATATATGATGTTACGTAAATAAAATAAATAATTAGATATTGCCAGGATTGATTGTTTAAGCGATAGTGGTTGGATCTTTTATATATTTATCTCGAAACTTTCAGGCGGTCTTTGCTGATCTATTATCCGCCAGGACGATCGAGACGAAAGTGTCTGCGACGTCGATCACCAATCCCCCATTATCGACTAGCTATTTCTTCTACGGTACTCTATCTCCTGCTAGCCTTTGAACCAACCGATCCGTTATCTGCAAAACCGTGTACCGAAGGTCCCGCACGCGCCCGGTTCGTCGTTGGCACAAGAGAAGACAAGATGTAGCAATAATGGAAAATTTTTGTTGACCGCTGTATCAAATGTTGATGATGGATCTGGTTGGCGGTTACCCCGAATTCCAATTGAAATTAAAACGGAGTCAACAACCAAATTTTCCAAAACCGTCAAGATCTGACCGTGGGAATTCTTTCTAGGCTGACGAGGTGGGAGAATCTGATGCCTCAGATCCGGCGCTTACATCAACCGCTTTGAAACACGTTAAATTCAGTTTAAGACACAGTCCAGTTCTTGAACACCTTCGACAGAGACTCGTAAGTATCGATTTACAGTTTTGCTAAATTCGAAGAAGTCTGTGAGTACGTATCGTTTCGAAAAACGTTCGAATTAATTTTCAAATAATAGAAATATATACTGGTGGAGTTTGCGTATTATTAACTTACAGAATGCATAAAATGTTATTATGCGATACCCTAAAATTGTTCAAATTTGTTACACGACACAGGATTGTTAGGGGTGAAATTTGTGTTGCGTTTTAAAATTAACTCGATTAACGACGAGGTCCGTTCACGGTATTGTTAAATTAGGTTCACTGGATATTTTATTGATGCGTTGAAATTTTATCGTGGATATATAAACTTGCAGCTAGAGTAAAAATCATTTTATGCCTCAGAGTTTGCAAAGCTACGCAGGAGGCTGTATACTCGATATGAATAAACGTTTTTTAAATTAGGCTAAGGTTGCTCCGTTTTGGACTGTCGCCTAAATTGGACTGCCCTGGTAAGTAGGTGAAATTAGTAAAATTATCGAGATTCAATTACGTCAACGAATCTCGAATTTCGAAAAATGTTTGGAATTTCGATTATCTAATTCTTGTAATCTAAAAATCACACTATACGTGTCTTTAAATTACCAATATTGTATCGTCATAAAAAAGGACATTTTTCAACGCAATGAATGTCTTTTATACAAAATAAAAACGGACGAAATGTTGTCTACAGATTTATCATTGGAACCTTTTTTTGTAATTGTATTATAAAGTTATAAGATTAAGGACATCTTAAATAATACTGCAAAATTACAAGAAATCATTGAAATAAGTTTAAATAAATTGTAAAACACAAACGAAATGTTTATAAGTACAATTACTTTGTCCACAATTATTTTTTCATGCAATATACTAGAAAGCTATGGAAGAACATATAATGTCTATCTACATTTTTTACTAGTCATGTATTAATGCTAAAAATTACTACTACCATACAGAGTGTTCGACCACCCCAGGGAAAAATTATAATGGGAGATTTTAGAGGCCAAAATAAGACGAAAATCAAGGATACTAATTTGTTAATTGAGGCTTCTTTCAAAAGTTATAGAAACATTTCCAGCCATACAGTATATTTTCGGTAAAGAATTTTTTTTCTCGAAAGTACGTAGGATTTCGGGGGTATGTCTATTCACCAAAAATGATTGTAATTGGTCCCTCGATCGAAAATAATTTTCTCAGAACGATTTGAAATTTTTTAATTTTGTCGAAAAATTTGTCCACCATCCTGAATTTTTTTCTCGAAAATGCGAAAGATTTCGGAAGTATGCCTATTCACCAAAAATCATTGTAATTGACAACTGCAATAGAAAATAATTTTTGCAGAACGATTTGAAATTTTTTTTTTCACCGAAAAATTTAGGCAGCTACTCCCTGTTGATTTTTAATAATTTTGTTTAATGCCCTATAGACAAATTGTCTAACACTTTTCTGTAAGTACCTATGAGTTCTACTTCAGAAAAAAGTTTCATTAAAATATATTCGCTATTGTAAGAGTTATGGCTGTTTGAAAATTGGATCATTTTTATGGGTTTATTCTCATTTTGCGGAGTCAAGGATAAACTTTTCGAATATTTTTGGAATTTCTACATATTCTTCACTAAAATACGCGTTGCTTGCCTTTTTAAACATTGAAATCCTCCAATCCGTTCAAAAGTTATGATATTTTAAAGATTTTCATGTAATTTCGGGCAAACATTTCTGGCCAGAAATTATATTTTCGGTGAGGAATTTTTTTCTCGAAACTGAGTAGGATTTCGAGGGTATGTATATTGACCAAAAATGATTGCAATTGACCCCTGCAACCAAAAATAATTTTGTTAGAACGATTTTAAATTTTTTAATTTAGCCGAAAAATTTCACATTTACTCGAATTTTTTTCTCGAAAGTGTGTAGGATTTCGGGGGTATGTCTATTCACCAAAAATGATTGTAATTGACCCCCGCAACCGAAAATAATTTTTTCTGTGAATGATTTGAAATTTTTTAATTTAATTTTTTAATAATTTTTTAACGAAGCCTCAATCTACAAATTGATATTCTTGATTTTTGTCTAAACATCCTGTATATTCACAGTATTACACAGTGTCCCAGAGGGGGGTGATTCGACATGAAAAAGCAAATCAAAATTAAGGAATAAAATTTCTTCATTTCCTTCGTTTATGAAAAAAACCGATGTTGAATATTCACTACATGCACTTAAGTATAGCTTAGATGAATACAGACTTCTATTATGCTTCTTGCATTCTTGCATACTCATGTTGACATGACCTTCTGTCTTTAATTTTTATCTATGAGACCATGTTAGCACAAAAGCGCACAAGAAGAATTCAATAGAATAGCGTTTCTAGCTTTCCACTCAGAATAAATTACGCTATCTTTGTTTTTGTTTAGATAAGATAAACTTTTTGAGTCGAAACATTCTTAACATTTTCTAATTTCGCGAATCTGTGCTTTTCCAAATTTAGCTTATCGCTACTCAGCTGTATCTTTCTTCCTTATCTATGGCACTCAGCTGAATAATGTAATGATTTTGTGATTGTAATTATTACATACTTTGCTCGATCGACTGGAATTGTTCGAACTTATCGTAACCTTTCAGATTTCTTCGAGTCCTGCTTTCTAATCTCTGATTAAAGATAACCAACTATTGTCACAGAATATACAACGCTCTATGGTATTGTTCAGGTTAATTACAAAATGGGTCTGATAACTCCCTATTGGGGCCTGGATGGCCTCATAATTTTCACGTCCCTGTTGGTGGCAGCCTACATGTACATGACACGTAAATTCAAATACTGGTCAAAACGAGGCGTTATGGAGGTTCCACCCACACCATTCTTTGGAAACTTCTCGCAATGCTTCACGCAAAGGAAAGCAGCCGCAGAATTCTTAAAGGATATGTACAGTCTGGCCAAGGGATTACCATGCATGGGATTCTACATTTTCGACAAACCAGCCCTTTTGATACGGGATCCCGAGTTTGTAAAGCAAGTCCTCGTAAAGGATTTCGAAGTATTTTACGACAGATACGCGACGTCAGACGTGAGCGACAGTATTGGATACGCGAACGTTTTCCAACTAAAAAATCCTATTTGGAAGACCATCCGAGCGAGGCTGACCCCCATCTTCACCACTGGCAAATTGAAGAGGATGTTCGAGCAGATGGCTTTCGTCGCCGACGACCTCAACAACCATCTCGAATCTTTAAATTTGAGTAAGTTTTCGCTTTTACAAAAAACTGAGCTTGACTGGCGGGAAAAGAAAATCGAAATATAAATTCCTCCCATTTTCGAGTAATTGAACCTATATATAAAAGGTGTCCTCGAGAAAGGTGAGTTTCTTGACGGGATAGTTTAATCTGAAAGCAGAAAAATTAGGGTACTGTGAAATATTTCATTCTATGGGTCGTTTATCTTTTTACTCGTTATTCAAAACTTTCATCGAGATAAAAATAGTCGTCTTTTTTATTTGTGATACATGGCGTTTGTTGAGTACGATGAGTATTCGTTGATATAAACCATATGGAGTTGATGTAACTTATGTAAAGAACTTAACATTTTATGAAACTGATGAAACATTCTATGTATTAGAATGAGTGAGATGATTGAGTTTTTTTTTTATTTTTTGCTTATAGTCATAATTAGAAGCAAAAATATAATACTGTTGTACGAATGTCGGTTCTAATCGTTTTTTTCGAGTTATAAGAGTATTGAACGCAGCATTGAATTCAAATTTTCCATTGCTGAATATGAGAGGTCGATCGCGTTAATCTTATCAGTTTTTCGATGTTTACTCTTTTGAAACGACTCAATGTAATTTAAGGTTAATATCATTGGTTCAAGTTGGCCTTCAGTTATCGTGTAAACCAGCTATCAAAATTCTGGGAATGTAGAAGAATTGCTTGAGTTGGAAAATATGAGCACCAAATTATTCTGCATTTTAAAATTCTATTTTCACTATCGTTAAAGATTTAAAATGACTAGTCAATGATATGGATTCGGTATTGAGTATTTATTGAGTTGTTAACTAAAATTCAGCACTATTTTAAATATCTGATTATTCATAAAATAAGAAATGAAATATAGGAAGATTTTATTCAATGCACTCTTTATGAGATTGAATCAATTTTTCCCAAGCATATAAAAAATAAAAAATAAAAATTGAATAGTTACTAGAATGGCAAAGTTATACCATAGTGTTGAAAGCCTATTCTCTATCAGAGTATTTAATTCAATAACTGTATGATTAAAAATTATAACACTTATTCCAGAAACTCCGAAGGCGATTGATATAAAGGAACTCTGCGCGAGTTTCACCACGGACGTAATTGGCAGCACTGCTTATGGCGTGAGGGTGAATTCCCTTCAAGATCCGAAAGCACCGTTTCGAGCTGCAGGCAGGCAAATCCATGCACTGACTTTCTATCGCGGAATGGAATTTCTCATCATATACTTTATGCCACACTGGTCAAAATACGTCAAAACGAAATTCTTCGGGAAAGAGTTCAGTGATTTTCTACGATCCGTTTTCTGGGACGTGGTGAACCAACGAATTCAGTCGGGAGTGAAGAGGGACGATCTCATCGATCTTCTGATCGATATGAAAAACAGGCACGAGAAAGAAGGCGATCTCGGTGGATTGAGTGAGTCTATACGCATTTCTTTTATAAACATAATTCAGAATTAATTTTGCAGTAAGGTTAAACTTAATTTTTTGTGTTACTTTTACGATGTATGTGCAGAGCTGGAAAGACGATTAGCTCCACCCTCTTCCCACTCTAGAGGCGTGACTAATCCACTACGACCAATCATATTCCACTTGTCATCTTTCCAGCTTTGCACAGTAGCAACGCTAATGCGCTACAACATTTTTAAACTGTTTTGAGACTGTTAGAAACATGGTTAGAAACGCAGCCAATGCTACTAATAATTTCAATCTTTATGATTCTATTAATTTCTCGAAATTAATGTTTTGATAATTCGCGATTCAGATTTCAGTGGCGACGATTTGGTGGCACAGGCAGCTATTTTCTTCTCAGCCGGGTTTGAGACTTCATCCACTACCATATCTTTTACGCTTTATGAGCTTGCTGTGCAGAGAGACGTTCAAACGACTCTGAGAAAAGAGATTCAAGAGGCGCTGGCAAAAACTGATGGCAAGATTTCGTATGAAATGGTACAAAACACAGCTATTTAATGCAATCACTTTATGATTTACCACCGTCTATAAAAATTGATAGTGCTTACATTTTTCTAAACGAATGGCTCTTGATTAAAATTTTAAACTAGTGACGATTTAACTACTCAAAGCTCCTTTCATCTTGCACACGATAATGAACATTTCTGCATTTTCTTATTAATAATGTGGCAGAGAATATAAAAATTACAAGTTTAAAAAATTGTTACCTAAATAACTTTTAAGCAACCTGAATGAACTGAAACCCCTCAATTGTATTTTGCAGATGATTCCTGTCATGATTTTAACTATTTCTCTGCTGGCCTAATCGATGACTCATTCTTGCAGATCACGACCCTGCCGTATCTAGACATGGTGGTGTCCGAGACTCTTCGTAAATATCCACCCCTAGCGTTTTTGGACCGCATTTGCAACCAGAACTACAAAGTGCCTAATTCCGATCTGGTGATCGAGAAAGGTACACCGATCTTCATACCTATGCTAGGCCTGCATTACGATCCGGAATTCTACCCCGATCCAGACAAATACGATCCGCTGAGATTCACCGACGAGAACAAGAAGAATAGACCCAACTTCAGTTATTTGCCATTTGGTGACGGACCCCGCGGTTGCATCGGTTAGTAAACTTCAAAAATTACGTGTTAGTCGTGAAATCTTCCATTTCGTTCCATCGTCACGTTTTTCAATTACCACGACTTCCTTATATTTAAAAAATAATAATGAAATGGAAGAAATACTATTTAAATGACACATTTTAACTCGACTTTACAAGTGACACGATATTAACATATTATAGTATAAAATACATAAAAATAAAAATAAGTAGCATTCGATTGTGCTGATGTCACGGCTTAAAGTGGTTTGAACCAATTTCAACCGATAAAGAACGTATTTGGTACTAAATAAATAAGAGGAGCCAGTAGTTGCGAGATTATCAGCTTTTCTTAATCACGTGAACGTAATCGGAAATAAAACACGAACAAGAGACGACAAACCGAACAATTTGTAAATGTTTGGTCATTCTGTATCAGCGAATCGCGTTTATCTTAAGTGTGAAAGAACATTGTAAAAGAAATGTGGGCAGTCACGATGTTATTCGTTTTCTTCAAACATCTGCTAGCAAAGAACGAATCGAATGATATGCAATTTTCATTTAAATAACTGAAGGTGACAAAATATATTTAAAATATTTAAAACAAATGATTAGAGAATCGGTGGAAACTCTTATCGTTAATTATAGAATTTAACATTGTTACCACGCGTTCCTAAATTTCTAAAAAGGCACAACGTGTGCCCCAAACATTTCATACGCGTCAGACCGCGATAGTTTATTCTTTTAACATCAAACTATGTTTCAGGTCTTCGACTTGGACTAATGCAATCGAAACTCGGGATTTTCCAAGTTATCAGGAGATTCGAGGTGACACCCTGCGAGAAAACAAAAATTCCAATGCCAATGGATCCCAGAGGACTCACCACCACAGCCTTGGGAGGAATGTACTTGAACATCCAGAAGATCTCTGAAGTATAAGCCTAGCCAAGATTGTCCGTTTGATAACCATTCGAACATCGAAACATTTTGGATTCCGAGCCAACAAAGTCGAAAGTTTCGGTTCCCTTCTTTGAGTGGTATTTCACGAAACGTTCGAACACATTTTGTTTGTTTTAATGGTACCGTTTGCATTTACTCGATTATATTAATCAACACTGGGAGATTCTGTGATTTAATATGGAAACTATTTTTTAAATAAAACTTTTGTGAATTTTTTGGGGGCAACGAAACGAATTTTGTGATTTGTTACACACGCTTAAACAATTGTGCCTTTCCGTCGCGAAACAATTTATGACGATTACGTGGAAAAGTTTCATCATTGGATAGTAATGGTTTCAGTGTGCACAAGACTTTCGGAAATGTTTGATGCAGTATGTACGCGCAAGTTGCGAATAGTTCATTATGGATGCTGCACGACAGCATGATGTGCACGTTTTCATGTTGCTACTTAGTAACGAGTCACGAGTTATATAATTACGATGAAGTTCGTGGTCGTTAATTACGAAACGTATCGAGAACGTGAATCTTTAATCACGTATGAAATTGACCTTTTCTATATATTTTTCATTTTCTGGCGTGTCACGCTACGTAGTTAAGTAATTTATAATTCAAGTTTCGCGCGTTTGGGTCTGCCTCGATGACGTTTCTCACACCTATCTGCACATAATTAAATTTTCCAAACTTATAAAGTGTATTGTTTTGGTACCTTGATATCGATTTTCTTTTTCTGAGTTTATTATTTCTATTGACTGTTAACAGTTACGTATTTAATCTAGTAAAGTGCTTCTACGATGTATCAAAAGAATGTGAATTTTTCTTTCATCGTAGAAAATTTGGAAATTCTCGAATCTGTTCAATAAAATCTCTGAGACGTTCGTCCGTTTGGCCTTCCAAAGGCTTTTCTCGTACTTCCTGATAAGCTAAGCTGTTTTTGCCAAGAAAACTGTGAACCTAACAAATTTAGGAAAATGTCAAATAAGTGCAAAATATTTTTGCAGCCACCACAATAGGCCATTAGTCACGTTAGTCGCGTTAAAGTGACTGTTCTCTAATGAGATCAAAGATTAATTCTAAAAGTAAGACGTTGAAGTAAATAAATCTGTATTGGACTCGTAAATTTTAACGAAGTTAAAAATATAAGTACGTTAAAATGAATCTGAATTAGCACGATATTTCTGACGAAGTGTTTCCTTATCATACTTCACTGGCGTGAAATGATTACATGGACACGTTAAGGGGGGCGCATGAGTAAAGTCTACAGAATCCGTATATAGACACGTAGAATAGTTTTAGGCCAGTCACTCCTCATTTTGAAACATGCAAAGTATTAAGGAGTAGACACTCCTCGAAGAAACGAGAATTTCGTACAATTTGTGGTCTAAATTCGAGTGACGTTTCTTATTGTGACAGGGCTTGAACGATCCTGTGTTTGGTGGCGCAAAAACAAAAGTATCACTGTTTGTGGTGGAATCTCGTGTGTGAAAGTGCAACAGTTTTGTTACTCGCAAGAAAAACCTGGAATAATAAAATTTCGTAAGTAGAAAGGAAACCAAAACACTTTTGTGCCATACATTAACAATTCATAGTTTATGAGATACTATTTTTCGAGAGGTAAAAACATCACTGTTTTAATTAAATGAACTAGTGACTCTACAGTCAATGTTTGGTAGATTTTTATTATTCACTATTCATAGTGCGTTTAATTTCCAAGATGGGGGTATAAACCGTTAACGATCTCGTGCACGGTGGGCGGAAGTTTGTCAGCAATGCGGAATTCTCAGCTGTTCCGTGTGTACCGCGGTCCTCGAGCATTTCCGGGTTTATGGCCGGCTCTGTATCACCGTGGATTCGCCATATGTGGCAAAATAAGCAAAACCTTTCTAAAAGTTATTCCAATGTAAATACCTGCCATGCCATAAACCATACTCCAGGAAGCATTGCTACCCTCTCGTTATGGCTCAGAAAATTTAAACTCTTTCGACTCGAAAATTCATAATCATTTCTAATTTCGCGAATAACCGTATTATCTATCCTATTAACACGCTTTCTCCAAAATTATCGCTTGAACTTATATATCTTCGTATCTTCTTAATTAAACCTAATAAAATCGTTTCATTTTAATATGGAACACCAACATCGTTTCATCATAATCAAATTTAATGATCATATCTTTCGTTCGATCATCTGGAATCGTACTTTCCCCTGTCCAAATATCAACTAATAATTTTTTTATTTTAAACTACATTGTTGTTTAGGTTAATTCAAAATGAGCGTCCTAACACCCTACTGGGGCCTGGATATTGCCCTATACTATTCGATTTTAAATCTTTATCTTCTCTTCTTCGTTCCACTGTTGATTTCTCTTGAAAATCGATTCAAATTAATTCAGATAAAATCGTACTTCTTCATCCTTTCTCTTTGAACTTCTAATTTTCAATCATTCGGTGGTCCATCGTTTCTATTCATTCAGAATGTACAACGAACGTGTTTATTTTGCAGTTTGATTCAACATGGCCTTGATAACTCCCCACTGGAGCCTGGACGGCATCCTGATCTTCGTGTCCCTAATAATGCTTGCATATTTGTATATGACACGCAACTTCAAATACTGGGCGAAACTGGGCATCATGGAAGTCCCACCAACACCGTTTCTAGGAAACTTCACGGAATGCATCATGCTGAAAAAGGCGGGCTTCGAGTTCGTGAAGGATCTCTACGAAATATCCAAAGGACTGCCCTACATGGGATTTTACATTTTCGACAAACCGTTCTTCCTCGCGCGGGATCCCACGCTCGTTAAGCATATCCTCGTGAAGGATTTCGAAGTGTTTTCCGACAGACACGTTTCATCCAACGTGACGGATCGTCTTGGATACGCGAACGTGTTCCAGATGAAGAATCCTGGATGGAAGATCCTTCGTTCGAAGCTGACGCCAATCTTTACTACCGGAAAACTGAAGAAGATGTTCGATTTGATGCTTCTGGTCGCTGATGATCTCTCCGAATACCTGGAGTCTTTGAATTTGAGTAAGTTTGCAAACAACGGATATTTATGCATTCATGGGGAAATTTTAATTCTGAGAAAACTATAGAACGCAGTTAATATGCAAAAATATGATTAATCGAATCAATGAAATGGAAGCTTTGTAGAGGGTTGAAACCTTGAATATAATAATTTATATCTTGCTTTAAGTATTTTTATTAATCAAATTAATGAAATGGGAGCTTTGTGTCTCAACCCCTAAATGTAATTAGATAAAATACGAATTCTATTAATTCTATTAATAAAAATATTAATTTGCACAAAGATCCACAATCTACTCATAAGTCTGACTCGTTTAATTGAATAATACTTATTTTAGAAACTGTAAAAGAGATTGAAATAAAGGAAATCTGCGCCAGATTTACCACCGACATGATTGGCAGCACTGCGTTCGGTCTGAAGGCGAATGCACTGCAAGATCCGAAATCTCCGTTCCGGGAAGCCGGGAAACGAATCATTTCCGTCAATTTTCCCCGGAACCTCGAGTTTCTTACAATATTTTTCATGCCTCACCTGACCAAATACACAGGCGCGAAGTTCTTCGGGGACGAGTCCAGTAGATTTCTGCGTAGCGTCTTCTGGGAAGTGATCAATAAACGAATGGAGACGAAAGAAAAGAGGAACGATCTCATCGATCTTCTCATCGAGTTGAAGCAGAAGCACGAGCACGAAGGCGATCTGGGAGGATTCTGTGAGTAGACGAACGAACGTTTTAATAATTTAATAAGGAAATTTTGGTATTTCATGTCACCTTTCTGCTCATCTTGTTTGAATGAAATATATAAATAATATACATCCTTCGTTCGATTATTAAAAATTAAATTAGTGTAAATTCAATGTGTACAAAGTTAAATAAAATTCTAAGGATCAACGTTGCGAGTTCCTCGAAAATTAAAGTTTTTATCGAGAATTTGTTAAAATTTGATTCTCGTCGTGCTTCTGCCAGTCACTTGGAAATTAATATTTCGATAATTCACATTTCAGGTTTCAGTGGCGACGATCTGGTGGCACAGGCGGCCATTTTCTTCACCGCTGGTTTCGAAACCTCTTCGAGCGTCATGTCTTTCACGTTTTACGAGATCGCGTTGCAATTAGACATTCAGAGAACGCTCAGGAAAGAGATTCACGAGGCTCTCGAAAAATCTGACGGCAAAATTACTTATGAAATGGTATGAACAACAGTATATAATAATAATAATGACAGTGAGTAAAATGTAATGCAAAATTTTTTGAACTATCAATGTTGTAAACGAAGTCTTCATACTGATTTGGAACACGTTATACTCGATCTGTAAAAGTTTCTTCGTACAAGCATTACTAGATTACAGTACATTTTTAATAAGTGAATACAGAGACAGATTACCATACCTTTCTTGCAGATCATGACGCTACCATACCTTGATATGGTCGTCGCTGAGACTCTCCGCAAGTACCCATCGCTAGGATTTCTGGATCGTATCTGCAACACCGATTACAAAGTACCTAATTCTGACCTGGTGCTGAAGAAGAACACCCCAGTGTACATTTCCAATATGGGATTGCATTACGACCCACAGTATTTCCCCGATCCAGAGAAATACGACCCGCTTAGATTCACCGAAGAGAATAAACAGAAGAGGCCTAACTGCGTCTATTTGCCCTTTGGCGAGGGACCACACAATTGCATCGGTCAGTAAACCCCCAAACTCCTAATTATTAATTTCTCTTTCGTCTCGTTCCGTTACCACGCCCTCCAATTACTATTACGTTATTCTTTCGAGGTTTCAATCACGTTCTACAACGTTGAACGATAGGAGCAGGTATGGGAAGCAATTAAATCGAAGGGTAGAAATTCTTGCTAGTAACTATGCTTCTACGCGTCGCAAATATTGCATCATCATCGAACAATATAATGTACTGTTCTCAATGTGGCTCTTCTCGACTGAAGGCTATTTTTATTTTATCATGCTCGCGTTATACATTTCAGCTTATCGATTGATCAGCTGAATCAGATATTGTTTTCCTATATCAATTTTTTATGTGTGCCTTATATGTTGAAATGTTGATAAAACTGAACGATACTGTCCTCAAATAGTAGCAAGCAAAGTAACTCAGTTGTTAAACAATGCTGTGTTATTAATTATTAATTCAAGTGCATAACGTTCCTTTGAGTCGTGATACTTTTTGCATTGAGTAATCATAGAGTATACGGTTTGCATTATCTCTATTCTTGTCTATTGTCAGATGAAGAGCAAAGTCGCATGATTAGTTCTAATTCATCGAAGATAAATAGAAGATTGAACTTTACGATGTATCGAGAAAAATGTAATTAATTTGTGGTCGCGATATTGCTTTCGTTGTAGCACCGATAACGCTTATTACGTGTAATTTTTGTCAGTTATTTTTAAGGCACACGACTATCGTTTATAAGAAGTATTAATCTACCATTTCATTTTTTGGCTGAACGTCGGTACTATTTCCTTTGCAGATAGAAATTTCTACCCTCGATTGCAAAATTAAATATTATAAACACAGAAATCTAATTATCTTGCAGTATATCAAAAAATACTAGGAGCAGATCTCTTTTAGTACCTAGAAAAAGCACGTTTAAACAGATAAGTGCCCCAACGTGATTGTTAATTATATGACAGGTCTTCGACTTGGACTCATGCAATCGAAACTTGGAATCGTGCAAATTATCAAGGATTACGAGGTGTCACCCTGCGAGAAAACAGTGATCCCGCTCGTGCTGGATCCCAGAGGACTCACCACGATAGCCAAGGGAGGGATATACCTGAACATCCGGAAGATCACCCCCGCAACTAGTTAATTCGGGATTCGTATTTGTAGATTTGTTAAATGATTATCGTTTAAGACACCATCTGTTATTCCAAAATACAGAGCATACGATCATTAGTATTCTACAGAGAGAAAAAGAACTTTTCACCCCCATAAGATACAATTACTCGACTCTGACCATACTCTATTTAATAATAGTGCAATTCAGGACAGGTTCTTCTTTTCTTCCTACGATACCAATATGGAATAAACGAGGTTCCCCCTTTTCTCGATATATGAAAGGACACGTGCATGTAGGGAACACCTAACACGTCTTCAATTTACTCGGTGACGTACACATATTTATTTCATTCACTTATTCTCATTTACAAAAGAGACTAACAGGCCGATGCTCGACCGGCCGTTTACTTACAATCGAATGTCTGTAATATATTAGTACGACACCTTGGAATCAAATGGAATGACGGATACCGCGATTTAACGGTATCCTGGCATCTCGTTCGCGCGCGTCGCCCGATGACAGCGCTCAACGTTGACAGCTGATTCTACGATCTACGATTTTCTCACCTTAGATCACACGCGGACCCTGTGCTCGACGAATGCTCGCCCTCGAAATCGAGTGGAAAACTTTGGAGAACGCTTGTTAGTGTCTGTTAGTGTCACTAGATCCACGATTAAATTTATTGGAGATTCTGTACTCACATAAGCATTAAACTTTGTCTTTAGATGCAATTAGATTTAAAATCGAACAAATTTCGAAATTAATATTAAAACGATGTGTTTTAATATGTCTCTGTTGGGCTCATCGAGGGAAAAATTCCGTCAATTAGCGAGGAAATACTGTACTCAGTTCTGGAAACAGTACAATATTATTGGAGATCTGTTTATGAAATACATTTGTCATAGAATTTTTTGAGAATAAAACCCCGCATTTATCTCAGCTTTTATCTATTCAGAATTATTTTGTAAATGAATTTACTATTCCTTCAAAAGTATCAAAGGATCCGTTCTCCGAATAGTTTCGTCAATTAGCGAGGGAATACTGTACTCAGTTCTGGAAACAGTACAATATTATTGAAGATCTGCTTATGAAACACATTTGTCATAGACTTTTTTGAAAATAAAACCTCGTATTTATCCCAGTTTTTTGATAGCAAATTATCTATTCAGAATTATTTTGTAAGTGAATTTACTATTCTCCAAAAGTATCGAAGGATCGTTTTTTCTCGAGAATCGCTAACGATTGCAAAACGAGCGTCGTTCGTCGAGCACAGAATCGATTACAGAGTCCGTGAACGATGACTATTCGTTTCAAACGCAACAAGTCGAGCGTTTGATGTTCCTCGACCCCGTGTATATATATATTTTTCCTCAATCGACGGTGATCGATCTCTCGTTGCGAACGGATTAATCGCGACGAACGAACCGGCAACCGATCGCCGTCACCGAGCAGCAAACGAATCGACGCGCTGGATCCCTTTCACGGCACTCTTACACACATAATAACTATACAATTCATCGTTTATAATATCGTGATAGTAACTCGCCCGCGAGCTTAGCAGTTATTTTCGCGTCCATCGTTCCATAATTCTTCTCGCCAGGTAAATATACATTATACATATATCTAGTCGTTTTGTTCGTGCGCTTCGTACATTTCGACCTGTCCCTTCGTTACGGTAATTGCAGGTTGTTTTACCCCCGTTCCTTGTCCCCGTTAATCTTTATCGTGCGTTCGCAATGTGCGTGTCAACGAGACATCGTCCAGTTTGTCGCGAGCCTCTTCGTTTTTCTACGGTCACGCGAAATCTATCTCAAAAAATCAACGAAACGACGGCTGTGGAGAACAAAAATTGCAATCTTGGTGGCTCAAAAATTACAAATTTTCAAATTCATAAGACTTAAACATATTTCGTTTTCCTATGGTCACGCGAAATCTACCTCGAAAAGCCAACGAAACGACGGCTGTGGAGAACAAAAATTGTAATTTCGGTGGCTCAAAAATTACAAATTTTCAAATTCAGAAGACTTGTACATTTTTCCAGGTGATTTTTAACCCCTCTCACATGTTCTTCATATCAAATTTCAAAATTATGAGGCTACTTGCTCGTCATCGAGTCTTATAAATTGACATCAACACGTTTTTACATTCACGAGGTATTTGTAAAACAAATCTATTCTTTTTCGTGACCATTTCTTGCACGTACAAATTTAAACGAAATTAAATAGTATATGTTTGAAAAATTATTTGCAATTAAATCGTACGTCAAGGGGTTACTCATGATCGAAGATGAACAATTCGAATTCCAATGTGACGTAATAGCAATACGAAGGTATTTTAAATAATATGTCGTGTCTAAAAGATTCGTTGACCAATATTTAAGTGTGTTTAACTTCCTTTTCCACGCAGTTGCTAGCATCGATATTGCCAATTTTCAACCCTTAAACTCAGACGGGCGGTGAATTTCATGTTTAAAATTACCAACAACATTGCAACTTTCGATCCTTCGCTTTCTGTATGCATCTACTCGGTGCTTCGATGAATTTGCAATTACTCTCTTCTCGTTAACTTTGTTGATCTTTCCTCTGTTATGCAATTGCTGCAACCAGGAGCACTTTAATTGTTTCGCTAACGAGTCTCTGGATCGTGATTTTGAAACTAAGAATTCCATTCTAAATATGGAGACTTTGACATTTAATTAGTATTTCCGATCGTCGAAGACTAAATATAGGTTCTCGATATCGTATCTTATCGTTAAATAGCACTTGTTTGTTCCAAATGCAATCCTCCATCGCCCTCTAGGCGACGATACCGCCCCGAAATTACGATATAGCCACAGCCAACGTATTAATTATAAAATAATGTTTTCGCTTGGGTCTAATAGGATGTATCGGATCCCGCAGGGCTATCACTACGAAGCTTATTACAACTCTCCGCAGTAAAATATCGCAGCGTTCGCTTGTGCAGTTGGTATCACGATTGTGCATCCTCGAAATAAATTTCTCTAATTTGTCATTTTGTATTTGAATTATTATTCTTCGTTCAACGTCGAGCAACAAAAATTCACGACACGTAACAGATATCTTTCGTGTTCCTTTTTTGAAATACCAAATGTTCTACGTTGCACTGTTCTTTTTCCAAGACACTCGAGATAAGCTCGACGTCAGAGACGAACAAAAGGCGGACTTCCCCGCTGAACAATTGCACGATCGTGCGCTTGGTTGAAATTTCCTGGCACGCAAACTATTCACGGGTGAAACGTTTTCGCCCATACATTTTGGTAATTGGTATCGCCGCGCTCTTTTATTAACGCTTTCGCCGCTGTAACCGATTCTCTCGGCTTCCTGTTCGTCAAACGTACGCCGCGAACACGCTGCGGATCATAAATACGAGAACGACAGGTAAATTCAATTTCCGACAACGAGTTTTTTTTACCGCCAAGGTAAACGTGCGCTCGAACTTTGCAATCGGAATCACGTCGCAACGAAACCGAATTAAGTTCATTATTTCAACTGAAATCTGAATTCTGTTCAAGATCTCTGCAACTCTTTGGATCTTGTAATATAAAAAAAAAAATATAAAATAACCAAAGAGATCCATTCTATACGTATTCGAGTGATAGATGTGTTTCGAAGAGGATTTTGAAAAATAAATTCGAAACGGTCGTTCCCATGGAAAACTCAGGATGCTTCGATATAATTAATTAAAGAAAGTCTTCGAGGCAGTTAATTATCCGTCTTGCGAATATTCATGCCACGTTGCCACATAATCGATGCAATTTTGTCGTCTCGTGATCGATCGATGCTCCGTAAAATCGACGTGACCCTGTTGCAAGAACGTCTTCGAGTCTCTCCGCTCGTAAATTGCTTTTTCACGGTAGTGGTGCAACCGGTCATTGTTTTATATAATACGAAGTCCCGACCAGTAGCTAATCGACCATTTTAAAAGTACTTAATCTCCAAGACTGGACCAGAATTCGCACGATAAAGGTTAAGGGGACAAGGAAGGTTTCACGTTCGACGATCGATTCCTTACTCGCTAATTAGCTTCGATTCGCGGCGCGGGAGGTTGAACGGACGACGGAAACCAAGGAACACGGAGGTTTCTCGTGGAATTTCAGGATCGCGGCCTGCGTTTCGCGATCGTCTCGATCGTCCTCCCCGCCGCCACGTAGGAGAAAACGTGGGATCGATTACGATTCCTTTCGTAATTGACGAGAACGATTGGGACACGAGGACTACCTCGGCGCGGATAAACGATCAATTGACGGAGTAGAAACGCGACGTCGTACCTCCCACGACACCGTTTTTGGACCGTCGAGTCTCCCGTTTATTCTCCTCTTCCCGGTCCTCGTCGACGTCCTGATTTCCTCCCCCCGGAAACCGAGGTCCCCGATTATTACTTTTTTTTTTTTTCATCTCTTTTCGCGATCGACCGACGCCACATCGCTCGAAATAATAACATACCGGTGATCGGAAAGTTCGATTGTCGGCACAGATGGTCCGATATAGATTAGGAAAGAATCGCCTCGCGGCTCGATATCGTCCGACGGATAATCGATTTTACTGTCTAGGAAGAGACAAATAAATATTGACAAAGGTCAGGCACAGACAGTGAGTGATAGAACGAAAAAAGCATTTGACTCCCTCTCCCCCGGCTGGTGGCTCTGTTCGACGTAGCGAAACGTTTTCACCAAATACTTTTTTCTCTCGTACCACTGGAAGTTTAATAATTTATATTATAGCGTGTATACAACGTTATTATGGTTCGACGTAGCTCGCTCGCTCGAAGACACCGTTTGCGTCTCTCACATTCGTCGATCCCCTTTCCTCGATCCACTGTTACGGTTCAAGATTTCGACGTGGTTCCACAAGGGTGGAAAGATTCGCGTGAGATTTCGTGTCCGGCGTGGGAGGGGCTGGAGTGAAAATATTCGCGCAAATCCTGAGCCCCACGGAAAGAGATTCCCCGTCGATTCGACGATAACGTTTCGATCATAACTATAACCTTGTCAATTTTCAGTTGAAACAAAAATAGAAAACTGTTGCTTGAAATATTTATTTTCCTATTTGAAATTTGATTCGGGGCACTTTTAGTCAGAATATGGTAGCAAAGTTTGCATGGAAACCTGTTGGATAGCCTGCACATTTTTGTCACATTGTAAAATATTTTTTTCGTTAATATAGAATTCTTATTTTCACTGATATTTCATGAATATCGTGTATAATATTTTTTTAATGAAACAAGATAACCTGTTGCTTAAAATAGCAATGTGTGAATAAAATATGTAAATTATAAATTCTGGATGAATCTTGCTTGCAAAACGGGAGTGTATTGCACGAATTTATAATTGCATAATTCAAGGTCTAAATATAATAGAGAAGATCCTAACAACACCAGAAAAAATACGATTTTTAAATTAGTGTCTAATTTCAAGAAGGTATCAAACACAATTACTTGAAAATATATGGAACAATTCTGAATATAAAACCATGTATTTATATTTGGTATATTTTAACAATAAGGTGAAACACCTCTTTTGATACTCTATACAAACTTTGTCATCACATTCTATAGTCAAAAGATAAAAGGAATAATCGCGAAGCAAATGCTGTATTTAATTCTAAATTTCAAAATGTTGCCCTCTTCTAGGGAAACACTGAATTTTAATATCGAATTTATTATACGTCAAACACATAAACTTTTTAAGTTAAAACCTGTGATCTTTTTCAACGAATTTAAGGGACTAAGAGACTAGTGTTCCTCATCTTATTCTTATTCCGTACGATTCCTCGTTCTCCTTATTTTCAAGCTTACTTTGCCAGTTTTATACGATTTTTCCAAATTACAATATAAAATACGATTTATGCCGTGTTGGCAAAGTATATTAAAAGTTTTCCGAAACGATTCGATCGAATCTCTTTACGCGGCTCCGAAGGGAAAAATCGAACAAGCATTGCGCAGAATGCAGGGTTCATATTCCCGCTCTACGATCGCCGTAGAAAACGAAGAATGCCCAAAACGAGTTTTGGGTGCTGAAGACAATAACGTAAGACTAGAGTTCAACAATACATGCGGTTTTTAATCGCCGTACAGACACACTGGTGGAGTATAAAAATATAAACATCTAAAAATGAAAAAAGCGAGACGCCGTTAGAGAACTAATTGTGTCGAGGCTGAGAAACACGTGTGTGATGCGCTGTGGACGAACTGATCACGGGGGTTGTTTTTTTTTTTTTTTTTTTCTTCTTTTTAACATTACTCTCCACGACGGAGGCTACCGGTTTAGGCTGCGTTACGTTTATAGCTTTCTCCCGTTCACCGTTCATCTACGTTTCGAAACGATTCGAGAGTCGGACATTTGTCGATCTGTGATAAATTTATGCGGCGAGCGGGAAACGAACGGAACGAAAAGTACCATTGTCATCGATCGACAAATGTTTACGCGTGCAAGTCGAGAACGAGTCATCGTCGCTCGTCGTTAAATTTTCATCTTCGTTCGTCGCGTAACACGGAAATTATTTATCAGTTCGTAGCTTTCGATCGGAGTAAGACACCTTCTCACGAGTGAACAGCGTTTGATCGACGTTCGTTTAAATTTCTGGCAGATCAACAGGAAAGTTCTCCGTGCGTTCTCGTGTTCGCGACGTTTCACGGGGTTTACACCGGGAAACATTCTTTCTTCGTTTTAGTATATTCGATCGTGATTCGACGCGACGTTGCCCGTCGGAATCCGTTCCATTTTCTACCTACGCGCTTACGTTCCTCCTTGTATTATATAGATTTTCATCTTTATATGATTTCTTTCCTTATATATTTATATATTTATATATGTACGCATTCGTCTCGATGGGAGTTGCATATTTTCACGTCTTTGTATACATTGCGTCTTGCATATATTTATATATATATATAGTTTTTTTTCTTTATGTATATATATATGTATATATGTATAATAACGAACAACATTAATGATTACTCATTAGGCTATTCTTTTAATTGGACAATAAATAAAATAGTCTATATAACGCGCATTCTTTTCTTATTATTCTTCAAGCCATGTGCATCCCCTTCTCTTTCATCTTTACAAATCGACTGCTTTGCGTCTCCCCCACGCCTGTCGAAACGAACCTTCGTTTCCACCGCGTATCATCAACCATCAAAGCTCTCTCTCTCTCTCTCTTTCGCTCTTTCTTTCTTCCTCCCACTCCCACTACGCTTTCAGAACAGAGATCGATAATTAGGAGCAATATACATATATTTGGTATTTGCCACTTGTTCGACAGTTTGGCTTCGATACGAACGTTAATTACACTCACACATTCTCTGGCTACATTTGGAAACAGCTAATCGACATACTACACGCATGTACTAAGACAATTTTAATTGCGTTTGATCCTCGTTACAACGTTTGACTTCGCAAAAAAAAACGAACACCGCGTACGTCACTCACGGTTACCCCTCGACTTCTCTATCTATCGTCCCCCTCCTCGTCAACGATCTTTGGCTCCGTCCGCCTCCTCCGATCATCGACCCTCTCCCTCCGCTAACGAAACGAAACGTTCGCGTTCAACCGCTGCAACAAAAGAAATTCTCAGCCAGCCACCTGTGCAGGCCCGACAACTGTTTCTCGGAAGAGTCCTCGACCACCAGGCCGTATCACTTGATCTCCTCCCGACTCGGTGAACGCGGGGGATGGGACGACGGGGGAGCCTGAGCCTCCAGGACCTGCCTCTTCGGCCGGAAGCTCGCCGTCAGCGAGGATATCCAACCGCTCGGCGACTGGGAGTTCTGATCGTGCAACGAGTCGCTGTTGCTGTTGCTCCTGGTGCTGTCGACGCTCATCCCGGACTTGAATCGCGACAGCAGCCCGGGCGACGACTTCTTGGAGGTGGCCGGCGACGAGAACAACGGCTTCTTCCTGGACTTGGTCGAGTCCTTGCACAGCATCGAGTCGAGGCTGCCGGCATGGGGCCGTTCCTCGGCTTTCTTTGGCTCCAACGAACCGAGCATCACGCTCTCGGTCTGCTTGGTCATCTTCGAGATGTCCTCCATGCTCGCCGAGCTCCTTCTGATCTCGATCTTACCAACGTCCTCCTGGACGTCCTCCCTGGACACGTGCTGGGTCTCCACGACGATCTCCGGCTGTTTCTGTTTGCCCGCTGGCACGTTTATCTCGCCGAACTCGATGTCCAGGTTCTTCTGCTCCACCTCCTTCAGGCTCTGCGATTTACCCTCGGGGTTCGAGAAGTTCCGTCGGTGCTCCGTCAACGAGGCCTCCGACATCGCGCCCGGCAGGGTCTCCAGCGAGGTGGACGAGCTCTTCTCCTTGGCGAACACCGTCCGCCAGCTTTTGTTCTTGCAGTCGGCCGATTTCCTCACCTTGGGCAGCGTGGTGGCTCTCTTGTCCACCGAGGACAGCTCCACCACCGTCGCGATGGCCTTGCCCTCTCTGGCCGCGGGTTTCGCGAGGTTGCACCGCTTGCAGACCGGCAGGGACGCGTTGTTGTGCCTGGACGATGTGGTCGGCGACGACGCGTTGCTCACCGAGTTGCTCTTGTTCAGCGTCTTCGTCACGTGCTTGGTCAGCTTGGGCGACGGGGAGTCCTTCGAGTCGAAGCTGATGTTCAGACGATCGGTGAAGTTCCGGAGTCGTGAGAACAGGGACTTGTGATTGTTGGATCCACCTTTGTCGTCGCAGCAACAACGAAGACCGATAGATTCCCTCTGTACCTCCTTACGACTAGACCTGACCTCCTGATCGTTCTCCGCCAAGCTACCCGTCCTCTTCAGGTTGTTCCTCTGCTGCGTCTCGACCACCAGGTTACCGTTACCCTCGACCAACCTCTTCTCCGAGAGTACCGTGTCGTCCTTCTCCAGCTCCTCCAGGATCCTCGTTCCCTCCGCCGACCTAGCGCTGACCGGCGAGTTCAGATCGCTCCCGAAATTCTCTCCTTTGCTTCGTCTTCTTTCGTGCTCCCTGACAGCCCTGGCCAGGTCGTGATTATGATAATCCAAAGAAGACTTCTCTCGACTACCCTTCCGGCTACCCGGGTAGCTTTTCCTACCTGATGGCGGCCCGACCAACGAACCCTCCGTAGAGATCTTGAACTTCAACGCCTTCTCGCTGACCTCCACCTCCGTGGCTGTCTCCGGGTCGGAGCTCTCCAGGTTCTCCGCGTCCTCCGCCGTCAAGTTCTCCGTGATATCCTCGTCGGTGGACCGCGATCTCGAGTGGATCGTACCGGCGGAACGTTTCGAGCGCATGCTGTGCGACGAGGTGGACTTCACCACCGTCGACGAACCGATACCGCCAGGCGTCGTCGTCAACGGCGTCGATTCCCCCAGGTCCGCCAAGCTTTTTCTATGGTGGCGCTCGTCTTTTGCAGCCTCGTTCAATCTACGATAGTACTCTAACGCTTCCCTCACTGGCTGGACTATCAGACTCTGAAACAATTAGCCAGTTACGTAACTTAAAATTTGTTTTAGTAGTTTTCGTAACATCGATCAAATTGACTGCTTATGATCTTTCGACTTGAGAATTAAATATTGGCAATTTTCAAGAATTTTTTGGGCGTAACTATGAAACTTTTTCTCATGAATGTTTAGTGTTTTCGAAAGTATATTTCTCGAACTGCGTCTTGTAAAAATTTCGTATGAAAATATTAACTATTACAGACTTAATGGAATCCAGTGTGAGAGGCCTCCAAAAATTGTGAAACAAGAAATCATGCAATTTTCTTAAACTATAACACAGTAGCTTCAGTTGCACGTATGGGTTTTTAAAAATAATTATTTGTTATAAAATGGTGGAACTTTGAAAAAAAAGTTCTTTTTTATATTTCTTTTTAATGTTTGGAGGTTTTGAAAATAACTCCCTAAAATATTAAAGTAAAATTCGCAAAAATGATAATGTTGCAGAGGTTTTAGTACCTACATGTAAAGAATGTAATTTTCATATGAATAGGAATTGTTTGAAATTTTTGAGAAACGTTCGACAGAGAAATAGATAATTGCAGCTCATAACGAAACGAAAACAGTGAAACTACATTGTTGTTGGAATAACGAGTGCAGCGTAGCAACAGTTGGGTGACATCATTGAATCGAATAGGTTATTTTATAATCCGCGCGGAATGTCGTACACGGATAAACAGACTCATATATCCAGCTTTCAATACGCAATTATGCGATGTAATAGTTCGATCTTTCATAAATTACCCATGACAAATTGCAACTACTTCATCGGTATATTATTAACCTGTTGACTACCAAGCATGAACTAACTCGTACATGATTTGTTGCTGCCACTTACAAACGATGGTAGAAATTTCAAAAGTGAATAAACATAAGATACTTTGGGGAATTAAATCTTTATACAAATTCATATTTTTGTTAATAGAATTAACGAAATGGGAGCTTTTTAGAGGATTGTCTCAAACCCTAAATATAATACTTCTTTAGTTTTTTGACTAAAATTTTTCATAAGTGTATAAACGTCCACAGTCATCGATTATTAATGTAATAATAATAGTTTAGAATATGAATATTTTCAGACTCCTGATGAAAGTAGTTCCAGAATATCGAGTGTTTTAAATGTAAGAACGTGGCTGAAGAGAGTATCGAACGTCTCGCGGGAAATTTTGGTGAGAAATTGTAGGGGAAGCAGTTTATTAATATTGAAAACGATGGCAAACGTACTTGCAGCTCAGGAAGCAGCTCCCCGAGGGCCTCGAAAAGAGGAATCAAAACTAGACCGATGAAGCTGACCTGGGACGACGGTTTGGTCACTTTATCGCGATCCATGAATGGCGTCACAGGAAGTCCCTCGAGCTTCTCCATGTCGCTCTGCTTAAAAAATTCTTGAAGCAACCTATCCAGCCACGGTTCCGCGACTTCCATCGGTCGGGCCTCGTTACTAATATCCGCCACTTTGATGAGGATCATTGATAACTGAAACAGGTTGTCAATTTCCGATACAAAACACAATTTGAGACTCGATTCCTATCGAAAGCATTGCAAGGAACAAAGAAAACTCTTCTAATTATTATGGATATTACATCCAATCAAGGCTAAAGTATTTTACGAAAACCTTAAAATGTTTCACAGTTCACGTATTTAAAATGGTTGATTGTTACGTGTTATTTTGAGAAGAGCAATTCTTTTACGAAAAGGAAACTATAATCGATTCAACTTGCAACTGTACGAACTTCGTTTCTAGAAGGTGAGAGACTTACTGAATTGATATGGGATTTGTTGGAATAATCGAACTCCGGGATGATATCGGTGAATTTCCCGAGGATCTCGTTGTGCCTGGCCATATCCGTCGCGAGGATGCATCTGATGATCTCCTCGCGCACTATTCGATAGGTCGCGTTATCCAGAGACACCAGTATGTTGCATTCAGGCGCTTCCAGGATGCGAAACGCCACGGAGCAATGGTGGTTCTCCAGGGGCGAGATATCGTTGTAACGCAGGGCCAACTCGGTACGAGCGTTTATTTGATAAATATTGTTATATCCCGGATGATCTAGATCGTGGCAGATGCAGGAGACGATCAGTATAAAAACCTCGAGGTCGCCGATCCGCGACGGAAGATTCGCTGCCCAGATTATCGCGTACATCTGCAAATCCGGAAGATTTATTAAAATATATCTCGGTGGTTGCTGAAAACCACGTTTATAAAAATAGTTCTACATGAAAGTAAAACGAGTCACAAGAACCACATCTTTTTTTTGGTAAATTTACCCATATGGGGAATGTTTAAAACACATTTTTCTTTAACCATGTCTTTATTGTGATCTTACTATCCTCCAAACTATTTCTCATACGAAGAGATATTATATACTAAACATTTTTTATATCAAGGTATTTCTTTTCAGTGAAAATTCGTTGATTCTCAAACAAACACAGTTGTTTATGTATAAAAGCAAGTCTGAACAAAGGAACCACTCGTAATTATCTTGCTCCAAAACATGTCACTCTAAATACAACAACGGCTTTAAAGAGAACAGACACTTTGGATTTGATATTTTTAAATGCAAACGAAAATATTATTCGATAATTATAATTCAAATGCCGTCCACGCCGGTTTCTGGGAGCAGATAAAACCCGTTCGTTAAGAGCCGAGCTTCGAGCGAAGTTATTCCGATGGAAATGTGTGGAGTTGTATATACTTGCCATTTGCGCCACGCAGAAGCAGTGCCTGAAATTATGAAATGGCACTTCGTTATAGTTGTTGTAAACTTCGTAGAGGAAGTTCCTCAGGGTTGGTAAAGGAATGTTAAACTTTTGAGGTAGGTCGAGCTCGATGAACATTGTCTGTAACAGCAGCAACAGCTCTTCGTCCTCCCACTGTCGGGCGTCGAAAGATGGTGAGCGCAGCCACTCCAAAACGCTCGATGACACTGATACTTCGCTGAAACAGAACCATAAACATTATTATTTTAACCGTAAAACGATTTTTCTGAACAAATTTGCGATACCAACTCCCCGCCATTTTTATTTCAATTAATTACCCCTCAAATCGGTATTATTACAGATACTGGTTGGACGATTCAACCCTTCTAGATTTGATAATAATGTACATTATCTCTCAAAAATATTCGACCACTCGTACGTGCGTGTTATAACAGAATTTTTCAAGTCAAGGTTTGTGTATACATAAAGAGATTGATTCTAAATAATTTCGAACGTGTTTAAAATATTCGACCACTCGTATGTGCGTATTATAACAGAATTTATGAAGTCAACGTTTGTATATGCAAAGAGAGATTTTAATTTCGAGCGTGTTTTAAAATAAACAAAACGAAGGTTGGATTTGGTTTAAAATATGCGGCGTCCGGAAATAACGGGGAAACTTTCCAGTAGAATGTTTGTAAAATCGCTTGAAAATTCTTTTCCTACCGCCGAGCGTCATTATGTCACACATGAGACACATAAATCATCTGTACAGTCTGAAAGTTTTCCAGCAAAAACGTGATTTGAATGCCCGTGATCTCGTATCGATGACTCATAAATATGCAAGAGTAACAGAAACGGATTTTCCTAAAGCTCTGTACTTTACAGTATTCGTATTCGTTTTAATTCAAACGTGACGCGAACATTCGTACGGATCGTTTGCAACGACAATGCATAGTCTCAGAGATGCATTGCAATTGCACATGAATTTTGTTTAATATTCTGGGAGAATGGATGGCATATAAGTTGACGATTAGCGATTCATTCGAGGGAATAAATCGTCCCTGGTGCAAAGTCTGATCCCTTTGATTGCGAAATCAACGATTTGGATTCCTGTCGAGATGAAATTAATTGGATTAATATGCCCTTTCATCGGAGTGCGGATGTTGATCAGCATTCAGTACTTTGTGGAATAATGGGTTATCCGCTTATTGAACTAAATCAACGTGGAATCCAACCTACGACAGATTGGAATTACATTAGGAACATATCGATTCACATGAGTAATGTGACAAATAACGTACGTGGTTGCTTCTGTGGCGCGAAATATGGCATACGTTATCAGGTGCTCGTTAATAGCTCAAATAAAGAAAACGATTATGTACGTAAATCGATGTATACATTATGAATGCAACAATTATTGTTGTATAATGTACTATCTGTGTTATTATTGTGTTTAAAATGAATACAAGTGATGATCTTAACTCAAAGAATAATCCATAAATGGTAACCCACAGTTGATGTTGCAATAACAATAAACATTACAGTAACCACGAAGAGGTTAAAAAGCATTATTTGTAACGAATAATTGCGCGAAGAAGACAGCTTAAATTCCCGCGAAATGCTACCGACGTAATTAAAATTCTTGCGCAAAATTAGAAAACCAGGGAAGATAAACGCGCGAGAACATTTTCTGGAACGTAATAATTTTACATTTCTACAGCTTTCGCTGTAAATTATTCGACTCTTTGAAATTTCTTTCTGCGTCTAACACAAATCCACCAGCCTTAAATAATAAGGCTACTATGTAATATTAAATATTAAATGTAAATATTTTATATGCAAAAGATTCTTTTACGTAAAGACTCTATGTTCAAGGACTGTTCGATCATATTAATTCTGTACTGAAGAATAGTAGTGTACGAAATATCTCACGAAATACTGATTTTTTAAACGTTTCACTCAAATACTGAGTAGTAAGAAGAAAAATACAATTTTGTTTAAAGAAAAAGTACATTTAAACATAGAAGACAGCATAAAAAATAAAAGTTCATTTGTTCATCGGATAGGGGATGAAAAGCCCTTTAAAATGAGCGTTTGTACAAGTCGATAGCATAAATAGTTCCGGAGATATGAGGATTTTAGTTTCAAGTCGATGCGGTGGCTAGTTTCGGAGATATGAGGCTTCGAAGTTTGTTTACGTCGCGAGAACAATGAACTTTCTTACTACGGCCTTGCCAAGGTCATTGACCGCACGTGCTCGTAGTACGTAGTAAGTACTACGTCATTCACGCGCAAGACAAAGAGGTCCGACGCGTGAGACGGAGACAGAGATAGTCAAATTAAGAAAAATACCCTTTCATATAAATTGCGATATCTCGAAAACGGATAGTCGGATCGACAAAAACAAAAAACCATTTCAAAGGGGAAGCTTCACCGCTGCCAACAATGGTTCAATTATTAATAAAACACTAGTAGTTTCAGAACTGCAAGTGTGTAAAGTTTTACTATTTTTAATACGCGTTAACAAGCTGTTCTCAGACGGAGAGTGGAATTTTAAAAATTACCTTTTACATAAATTACGATATCTCGAAAACGGATAATCAGATCGACAAGAATCAAAAACCATTTCAAAGGGGAGGCTTCACCGCTGCTAATAATGGCTCAATTATTAATAAAATACTAGTAGTTTCAGAACTGCAAGTGTGTAAAGTTTTACTATTTTTAATACGCATTGTTAGACTGTTTTAAAACAGTGGAAACTGAATATTGTCTCCTTTTATCTTTGCTATATATTTCCCATTTACATCGGAAGCTAACCAGAATTTAATACCAAATTTTGCCTTGTTTTTTTACAAAAAAAATATAAATCGTTCAACCAGTCAGATGACCAGTTATTTTTCTTAGAAAACAAACAATAAGAATAGATGTGAATATTGAGAAAATTCATTGTACGTACGCTATAAAAAAAGTCGTGAAGTTAAATGGCGATAAAATAAGATTACATGTTAGAAATTCTAAACGACATACTAAAAATGGTTATTCGACCAGTCGTGGTAGGTTTAGTGTTAAATAAAGAAGCTAAAAGGAACTTGTAGATTTTGTGGGATTCGAATAAAGGGTCTGGAAATATACTCGCTCGGATTCGATCGAATCGATGCGTCCAGATCAACCTGGGATCAAGGAGATCAAGCCGAAGCACGTGGTAATGAAGACCGCTAATTGGTAATCCACATTTAGTCCCGCATCAAATCGTACCACGCGATAATGTTTGCTTTGTGACACTTGCCATTACAACCTGGCAACGCCAGGTTATTACAGAGATAACGGTATCTTAATAACAGTTCGTGGCCAATGCAACCGGAGGCTGCCTGTCCGCGATCATCCTTTGGCGGTGTCGACGAAGGCTGAGGAACAGACTTACGCACCAAGTGAATTCGATTTTCAATTATAACGTTTTTTACAAATTCGATTCTTGAAAATATCTACTTGAAATTTACCTCAAACTATACATACAGTTATTGCCACTCGTATTCCTACACTGTAATGGTGATTCACTATAAATGGAGAGAAACTTGTTTCTCGTGAATTCTTATTTTTACCAAACGCTGTATTATTTCTATTAACGAAGTAGGCTTTTTAAAACATTAACAAGCAATGCTTAATTACAAAACCGATAGAGAGGCATAATACAAGCAGTGCATATTAATAAATATTTTTGTGTACGGTAAATAAATGTTCCTATATTATTATCGTATAGTTTTAACTAACCTTATTGTATGTAACGTGTTTGGATAAGATTTTCTGCACTGGTTTCTGTTTAACTTTCTTAAAAGCACGCCCAGGGTACGTCAAAGGCAAAGCAAGTACTCTTGCCAGAGTAATATTGACAGAACAACTCAGGGAGACTGTTTGAAAACTAAAAAACAAAGAAATGAGACTATCTACCGTGTGCAAAGAGTATGAAATATCAAAAGAGACTTTGCCAGGAAGATCTAAATCAGATGGTATAGTGACACGTCTTTTAAAATCACCGTTAATCCTTGGTTTGTGAAAAGAAAAGAACTGAGACTAGTCCAGAAAATATAAAAGAGATTTTTTGAATGAAAAAATGAAGACTAGATACATATTAGAAACGTCGAAATAAGCTTTCATTAACGTTTAAGAGTCCCTCGATATTTCCAAAGAAAATTCGTTTGGAAATTACATACGTACATCCAATATTTCAAGTACATTTTAATTATAAACATATTCGAACGAGCTCGTCCCTGTTTTCTGCCCCTTCGTTCGCGTCGATGGATGCTCGAGTATTCCTTCGAGTTTAGGAAATGGTTGGAGTTTGCACGAGTGCCAAGTCTGGTTTATCTATATGCACAGTGGATGAGATCCAACTTCGCAGTTGTCTTTGTTGGTTTCTGAGATTCGAGGTCTAACACGTTGTCGTGTTCCAGTAAAATTTTCGTCCTCCGATTTTTACCTCTTTTTATTCGTCATTTCAATCCGAGGAGAGGACAAGACTGCCAGAACCTGGTTAAGGAAACAAAGCGTCGAGTTCCTTAGCGAGGATGCCAAGAATCTTGTCTATCGTTAAGAGTATGCAGCGAATGGCGGTGATTATGTGGCAATGTAGCCAAATGACGAAAGAGCTCATTTCAGGGATTAGTTTCCTGTTTCATTTATTAAAATGTGGTTAATGTTATTCTCTGTAACCTACCATTTCCTTCCTTTTCATATATCCATTTAGTATGTTTAAAATATTATTGTAATTCGTTGCATAAATCAATCAAATTTGACACTTGTACATGAATTTCGTACCAATTTAACTAAAATTGATTTCTAGGTTTCATTCTACTTTTCTACTTTAAAGACCACTCTGAATTAACAATTCCAGAAGAAGATCCAACAAAATCGAAACGTTGAAAAAAAAATATCCAATGTATTATTTTGAAAAGATCAAATAATAATAATCAATAAAAGAAAGAAAAGGAGAAGAAAATGTATTATGTTCTCGTGTCAAATCCTTTAATTTAGATTCCCTAAGAAAATACTTTATCAGTTTATCCTTTGAAAAAGCCAGATACTCTAATGATACAAACAATTATTAAGTCCTTTGGATTATTTCCTTTTAGCTCTTTAATATATCATACGTTTCCTTTATCTGGTTTGCAAGTATGTATTTCGTTCGGAATAAACGATGGAATTTGCTACCTCAAAGGGAGGGATTTAGTACATGAATAA